ATATGTTTCACGAGATGACATGACATGTTCTGTGATGTGTTCCATGACATGACATGGTGCATTCTATGATATTACCATGACAATGACCTCCCTCAGGCCCTCTCAGGTACGCATGTATGCCTCCTGTGCTAAAGAATTTTTGCATACCCATCTACTGGCAACTTAGATATTTGCTTGTTTTCTTCTTAAAGATTAAAACTTCGTATTTTACTTGGATAAAGAATTACTCCTGAATATTGAAGACTCTAGTGCTTTGGACATGGAAAAGATTCGTGTTTCTAAGGGGACACAGTGGCAAAGAACTTTATGCATCGTGCATCCCTGCTGAGCTGGCAACTGAGTGGTGTGTCGGGGAGGGAGGACACCACCATTGGAGAGTTAATTCACATGCCTTCTCCCAAAATTGAAGAAAGTCACTGTCACAGCTGGGCATGGTGGTGCACGTCTGTAGCACCAGTTGCTCAGCATGCTGAGATGGTATTTCCTGAGCCCAGCAGATGGAGGAGGCTTAGTGAGCTGTGATCCTTGTGATCATGCCACTGCCCTCCAGCCTGGACAACAGAGTGAGACCCCAACTCAAAAAAAAAAAGTTACAGTCACAGCTTAGGATTTCCTCTGCAGAGAAATGAGATACATTAACTTGCAGAATGATGTGAGGAAACGTTTGACTATTTTGAAGCTTCCCTGTGTGAATGAGTTAGCCAAAAATAGTAATAATAATTATTATTTATTGTAATTATTAGAGTGTAGATGAAAAATGTTCATGAATACTTTCTATTGGTGTCAAATGTAGATTTTTCTTCATGATCTTATTTGGTTTCCAATGGATAGGATACTTAAATAGTAGATTAAAATTTATATCCATAATTTGATGAATAATTTTGTGTTTTCTCCCTTCAACAAGTGATATTTAAATCAGTTTGCTTTGTATCATAATTGATGGGTGAGGCAAATAATTCCAGTAAGACTCCATTGTCAAGTTAAAAAGGATATCAAAAGTGTTAAAAATTCCATACTAGAATTTCATTTAAAAAAGTTGAAACAGACTCATTCCTTAATAATAATTAAAAAGAGTCCAGACACTGTATCTTATGCCTGTAATCCCAGTGCTTTGGAGGAGCTGAAGTGGAAGGATTGCCTGAGCCCAGGAGTTTGAGACCAACCTGGGCAACATAGTGAGACCTCATATCTACCAAAAAATAAAAAATTAACCAGACATGGTGGCTCACACCTGTGGTCTCAACTACTCAGGAGGCTGAGGCTGGAGGATCACTTGAGCCCAGGCGTTCAAGACTGCACTGAGCTATGATCCTACTCCAACCTAAGTGACAGAATGAGAATTTGTCTCTAAAAAAAAAACAGAAAGAAACATTTAAATTCTTTTAGGACAATTATAACAGTATTCTATAGGAAGAGTAGTTTTCAGGACTATAAATGATGACAAGCAAGCAATACTGTGTTTTATAAGCTGTTAAATTCTTTATAAAGGATAATTTGTCAATATACATATTATTTCATCTCGCTCTCTATTTCCAGAATCAGTTGCATTCACCACTTGCTACCCTTTCTCTTCTCCTTCTATTACTCCTTTTTCTTTCTTCATTCCTAATTATCTGTGACCTTACAATGAAGGGTCCACCATCGTTATCCACAGTAGTTATGATGTTTCTTGCTGAGTTTTTTCAACTACTTGCCATAGTTCGTCCCGATTTTATAAAAGTTAAAGTAAAAGAGAAGTTTAAAAGATGCCAAATGCTATCACAGGTCCATGTAGTAACTAGTGTGCATGTACCTTATGGTTGTGCTTTAATTAGTTTGGCATATAATTCTTTATTTTCATCTTAGGCATGTTTGTGTTTTAGAAATCAGTCTAAGACTGGATGCTGTGTCTCATGCCTCTAATTCCAGTACTTTGGGAGATTGAGGAGGGAAGATTTCTTGAGCCAAGAAGTTTGAGACTAGCCTTAGCCTGGGCAACATAGTGAGACTCATCTCTACAAAAACAATTAAAAAATTAGCCAGGCATGGTGGTACACGCTTATAGTTCCAGCTACTCGGAAGTCTGAGGTGGAAGGATTGCATGAGCCCAGAAGTTCCAGGCTGCAGGAAGTTGTGATGGTGCCACTGCACTCCAGCCTGGGTGATGGTGAGACTCCAACTCAAAAAAACAGAAATCAGTTTAAATGGATCTGGTTTAAAACAGGACACTCAATATGTGCCATCATTTTAGAATGCAATCTCTAGCTTTTAGAAGAGATTATCTCATGATTTTCTGTGGTCACTCAGCAAACTTTTACTGCAGGCCTACTATGCACCAGATATAGTGTTCAGGACACAGAGTTAAATTCAGGGTCCCTGCCTCTGGGTGGGGTGTGGTTAGTCTCCATCTTGATCCCATCTCCCCAAGATCCTATGGCTCCATCACCTACTAGTTGTCTACCTGGGAGCAAGTAAGTTATCTAGCCCTATTTCTTCAGCTTGGAAATAGGGCTGTTTCCCTTGGTTCTTTTAAAATGTCTTGTTTAACTGTAAAATTGTCAGTCTGTAATTACTGTGAATTTTTCTTGGAATTGCATTATCCCTGCTTGGACCCACCAGATACATGTTGCGGTTTAAAATAAGCAGGGGGCAGTCTAATAGGCAAAACTTAACAGCTTCTGTCTCAAATTAAAATTTTTGAACTTCTAGTAATATCTGCCCTTTCTTTTCCCACAGTTTCACTCATATGTTGTTCATAAATCTTAACTCTTAAGTATGAGTTTTTGGCCCTCTGTTAGGTAAAAGACTTCATTTAACTTAGCCAAAGCCAAACACTTGGAACAGCCTGCAATAGTTAGGCAACTTCCCTTCTTCCCAATACATGGAGAGTCTCTGTAGGTTTGTATGTTGGTGTGTGTGTTTGTTTGTAGAGAAAGGAGGCATTGTTGTTTTACTCCTCTGATGATGCTGGTTAGGTTCAGTTTGCCTGCTTGGTCAAGGCCCATGCCGTGTTTCGGCGTAGCTCTGCTGTGCTAATACCGTGTGCCCATCACTGGGCTTCAGTCTGTTGCAGCATCTCCAGGCCTCCTTTCTGCTCATAATCTGATTACGGGGTTTGAGCTGTTCCAGCCTGCAGCCTCTCCCTCTGCATTTACCATGCACTCAAGGACATGAGTGCCTGGTCGCTGGAGCCCTGCACTGTGCAGGATCTCAACCCAGTTTTGCTGAGACCAGCCGAAGGTCACTGCTGGTTGAGAATTAGCTGTCAAGCAGTCTCCGTGGCTGAACCCTCTATGCACAACCATGATCAGAAGCCCAGGCTTTTCCAGCTATTTGGAAACTTTCAAATTCTCGGAGAAACAAGGTAAGGCAAGAGAAAGATTAACTGTATGGATGTGTGGATGTGATCACGTAGCAAATGCCGTGGAATCTTACATTTCACTCTGTATTCTCCTGTGTCTGCTTAGTGCTTTTCTCAAAGGACACTTTAAATATCTAATTGAGTTTGTAAATGAGCTTTTCTTGTGATTGCTGATAAATGTGATTTTTTTTTTTCTGTTAGTAAGTTACAGCTACTTTTAGAGCTTTTTTAAAAGCACTAAAGCTTCTTTATGCAGGAAAAATTGCCAATGAAATTGGAATGCCCAAAACTGTGGATTGAATTCTGGATGTGCTGCACTTTAGCTAAAATATGTTTCTAAACCAAGTACTATATATACTAAGTTATTTCCAGTAGGCAGTGGTGAGTGTCTTTTTATTAACTCTTCATGTAGGACAGTTTGGAACAAGATTCTGTCTTTTTAGTGGCTTCTGTCTGACCCCAGAGGAAAGTTTGTGTTTTCAGCTTAACTACTGAAGTGTGGTATGCGTGTTCAGTTTACTGATGGAACGAAAATGAATGTTGAGTTTATTTTGAATATCATATTTAAAACTCAACCCTAAGAATAAAAAGTATTTTCTAGCATCAATGCACTATTAGGAAGGGATTTCAACAATTCAGACCTCAGATTCAGGAATTTTCTTCTACAGTATTTGATAACTTTTGAACTGAGTTCTCTTTCTTTAAATGCATAGCAAGAAACTTGTATAATTAGGAGAAAAGCCTGGATTTTTAATTGACATTATACCTTTCGTTTCATTGTATTTCGCCAGTTGGCTAGAGATTCCAGATTGCAGGACTGAGGATGTATTTTGATGGATAATGAAGTGTCAGCATCTGGTATATTTTGTACCTCTTTTTCCTCAGACTTCTGCCCCTAAGTATTAAGCAGTAAAAGACACTTCCTTAGGGGAAGAGGTTTTTGTAAGTGGTCTGCTTGTGGTTTTCTTAGTGGACAAGTGGTTAGTATGCCAAAAGCTATAAAACAGATTACTTGCCATTAGACTGGTTATAAATTTTGTCTGTGCACCTGGATCTGATTAACTTGTTCACTCTGGATGTGTGTTTTTCCTGTATGGAATTGTTACCAGCTGTCTTGACATGATATATACCTTGTCTTCAGAAATAAATAAATGATTATTTTGTGGTGCTGTTCTTGTTGAGATTTTAACGGAAGCGATAAGGCTGACCACCCCCACACCTCTTCCCTTAAAGGCATCCCAAACACATCAGGAAAATTACTTTCAACACTTCCGGCTAACTTGACAAAAATTGCTTAATTATTTTCTCTGCTTTTCCCTGAATAAATGTCTATGTTATTCCATGTTTAATTACTGTGAGTTCTTCTTTTTCTTAACAAATTTAAATGATAGCATTGAACTATTACAGAATTTTTTTTTTAATTCATGGAGTATGTTGGGTACTTTTTAGAAAAGGAAAAGTAAACGTGCCCATGTAAATTGTATACATGGAATTTGATTCTTAGAAGGTGTCGTTTTTGTATTTCTATTTTTTCTGTGGTTAATAGTTTCCTTTTTCTTAAATTATACATTAACAGAGAGTTTAAAGAATTTTTTCTCACTGAATTTTTGTTAACTTATTGTGTAACTATTTCAATGTTACATTATTTCTTTTCCCTTAGATTTCAGCAAGAAAAACTTAAGCTTCATTGGATTCCCACGACAAAGAAAAGTTCCAAGGTAAAGTGGCATTTGCTCAAGGAATCTTGAGTTTTGAAGATTTGTAGTAGCTTTTAGAATTTTTCTCTTAAATTCCTAATTCATGAGTTGAAATGCTTGGCAATATGTTTTTTCTTCAGAGTTAAATTTATTAAAATATATGAAGTAAAAGATTCTTTTTGTACTTAGTGCCATTTATGAGAACTGTTTGGAGAACAGAATATTGGTGTCTTCTATAATTGCAAACTTGTAAAAAGATATTCTCTTTTCTTTCTCACACTTGACTCTAAGAATGGGATATCTTTTTGTAATCTGTCCATCAAAGAAAGGAACTCGATTTTTTTAAAGAAAAGGTTTAGCCTTGTCCCCACTTCCACCCCTCCCTCCCTACTTCTCTTCCTCCCACCATCTACTCACACACCCATATGAATTCTGGTTATCTGGGTTTACCACTTTTCTCTTAACTTTCTGCACTTCCAGTTCTCTTGACTGCGGGATATCATGGGTGCTAATTTGATTCACCTAATGTGCTAAAACTCCATGACACATCATCATTGATGCAAGACAATGTGAAAATGAGTAACTGTGCCAAGCACAATACCTGTATCTCGGGTGCTTCTTAGTAGACCATGGTTGCTCATAAGTTGGATATTTGCAAGTGGAGGCACAAAAGTATCATTCCCTACACATGCTGGCATGGATCTCAACCTATACTCCTTTATGCTAGGAGGACCCACCCCCTCATTCCACTCCAATGCTCTTGTGCCTAATGTATTTATGACATTGTGTCTTGCCTAAAAAGGGCTTTGTGTTTCAATAGCATTAGAATAAACAATTGTCTCACTCCTGTCTTCATCATGCTGAGCCTGGCTCTGCGTTCAGAAATGGCAGAGTTGATCTTGTGAACACACTAGACAGGATGAGTCTTTGGCATGTTACATCCACACCTAGGGACAATTAGAACATGGGTGATCCAGGGTCATCAGGAAAGTTGTCTTACCTGACACATGAAATCTTACTTTCCTAATGCTTGGTGCATCCATATTTATCTTTGCTATATTTTTAACAGAATCTGAAGCTTATTTCCTATATGTCCCTAGCAGATTGGTTTAACTATCATAGAGCTATTATAACACATGACCAAACTAAAGAGAGACAGGAAAGCATTGCTTATTCAAGGACAAGAAAGCATGAAACATGGACATCACACACTTTAGGGGACAGAGACTCAAAGGGACACAGCTAATCTGAGATTGTGGGTATTTCTTCATGTATGCCTATTAAATTTATAGCCCATTTGGGACAGTGCTGAGTGTACAGGAGCCTGTCTCCTTAAAGGAAATCTAGTCAACCAGACACCAGCTAAAACAGATGAAAATATGAGGTCATAGAGTTTATTCTCCCATGTCTTGTCATTTCAGCTACAGTAATGAGCAGATTGCGAGGGAAACTTCCCCCATGTGGTACTGGTGGTCCTTGTAATAATAGTAGCATATCCCACATGGTAAGAGATGGAGATAATAACAGCAGAGAATTCTGCTCCCCCTTTAATAAAATCCCCCCTCGTTGCTACTGCTAGGTCTTTAAGTAGGTTAATGGGACACATTTAAAAGAAAAATTATCATGGAAGCAGGGGGCACACTCTCCTCAGGTTATTGAAGCAGAGGGAGGGATGGAGGGAGCAAGGTGAACATTATGAATCATAAAGAAGCAGCGCTGTTTTCAGAGGGGAGAGAGCTGGAAAAAGAAATCCAAGAGGTGCTTCTTACTATTAGAAAGTGAAATTATAATTTTAAAAAATTAAGTCCACAGCTTTTACTTTAGTCCTATTTAGAGAGATGCTTTTCCACTGAAATTGAGGCACACACTTTTGATTGAGCCATAGCAACACACCAAGGCCTGCAGAGATTGTCCCTGTGAGACCTCTTGTCTAGGAGGGGTAGGAAGGATGACTAAGGAGGAAGAGCTGGAGCTGGTCACGTGAGTTAGGAGCGGTCCCACCAGTCATATGGTGCTCTGAGTCAGAAAAGCAGAGAGGAGAGTGATGTAAGGGCTTTTTGGGGTGTTTACATTTCATCAGCCATTAGATGATCAGAAAAAGTGACTCACTGACGAGTGGTCCAGAGCTCTGTACTAGGATGTCTTGCCTGTATTTTCACTGCTGAGTAGTGCTCTCGGCTGCAGAAAATTTCAGGGAAGAAACATGATTTTTGTTTTATAGAAAAAAACTGATTTCACATATGGGTTTAAGGGGTCTTGCAACAGTCGCAACATGCGGCACTCCCTACAGCCAGAGCCACACTTTCCAACCCAATCTGCTTGTTCTTCCTGTCTGTCCATCGACTTCCTCAGATGTTACCAGGCATTTAGCAGAAACATGGGAGCGAGACAAGAGGAACAGGCGCCAGATATAAAAACAGCCATGTAGATTCCAGTAATAAAAGTATAGAAGCTGTTGATTTTTAAATTTCATGACTTTATAAACATTTACAAATATGCTAATCTCATACATGTGCACAAGGTGAGCAAGGGTGATGGGGAGCGATGTGTTCCCAATTGTATACTACTCCAGAAATGAAGGGAGGGAAGGAAGAAGAAAGGAGGGAAGGAAGGGAGGAGAGAGAAAGAAGAGAGGAAGGAAGAAAGGGAGGGAAGAAGAAAGGAGGGAGGAAAGAAAGGAAGAGAGGGAGGGAGAGGAAAAAAGAAGGAAAGGGTTTATAACTGCTATTACTGAATATATGCCCTTCTAATTATTCTTGTTTTTTGTAATGATTTTTGCTCCTCCTTGATATCATAAAATATTTCAGGGTGAATTGTAATATACATATGAAGTGTTTTGTTATAGTCGTTCATTTATTCAACTGTATTTGTTTATTATTATTTATCTTTTTTTTTGGAGTCTCACCGTATTGCCCAGACTGGAGTGCAGTGGCACACTCATGGCCACCACAGCCTCAACCTGCTGGTCTTGGGTAATCCTTCTGCCTCACCTTCCAAGTAGCTGAAACTACAGGCATGTGCTGTCACGCCTGACTTATTTTTCTTGATTTATTGTAGAGATGGTCTCATCAAGTTGCCCAGGCTGGTCTCAAACCCGTGGGCTTAGGCAATCCTCTCACCTCAGATTATAGGCATGAGCCACTGTGCCTGGCTGCATTTGTTGATTTAAAAAAAAAAAAAACTCTAAAGTCAATAATTTTAAATAAAATTGATTAAAATTAAAATATTTTCTAAAAGCATAATTTACAAAAAATTATAAAAACTCTGTAATGACACTTGTAATACATGAAAAGAACAAATAGGAAAAGAACAGTATGGTAGGAAAAGAAAAATCAAAACTGCATATTATAGATTTGGTGCTGGTTGGGATAGACACTGGGCCAGGGGACTGTTCTGACAAGATGAACAGCTGTCTGAGGTTCAGACCAAGAGCCCGACTGAGCCAGGATACTAGCAACGAGGCTAAAGAGAAGAGAATGCGGATGGCAGGAGCAGTGTGCAGAGTGAACTGTGTTGAGAAGCATGAGCGATTTTCCTCATAGATCTTGTGTTTTCCATTGGTTTCTGACCAGCTGTTAAAAGGCTATATTTTATACTGGTGCTGACATCAGTTCAAGACAATAAATGCATATGGAGCTGAGATACGAGGGTGATGACTTGTAAACTCCACTCTGTGAACTTTGGAGTATTTAACCCAGGGGTAGTTGCTTAGGGCTTCATTGGACTTTTTCATAAACAGAGAGGTAGAGGAAAATAGAGACATGCAGATGCTTATTTTTGAAAATATAAGATAACATTTGTACCCTAAGATCAGTGGCCAAGAAGGTAAATATTTCAGGGATTATATTATTTCACTTTAATATAGAATTGTTTTCCTGAGATGAATTTAGTTTCTCAAAGAAAATACAGAACTTTATCGAGATATTTAAATTAGATGTTAAATCATCATTAAAATAGCATACTGCTCCTTAGATAGGGTACATTTCTGCAGGTGTGACTTTTTTAGTTTTATACTAAATCAGACATCTGAATAAAACACTGAAAAATATTGTCACTGCCTTACGATTCACTATTTAGAAGTCGGCAGTAATTCTAAGTTTTTGACTAGGTAGGTGTGTTAGGATCTTCAAGCCAATCTGGAGTGTGGTTTATAAACCTAGTCATTCCCAAGATTTTTTATTAAATCATGTGAATACTTGACACTCATGTTTATGAATATAAGCTTTACTACATTTATATGCAATAACTGAGATTTCAGATGGGCTTGGTTCTGCAAAGATGCGATGATAGATTATTTTCAAATGTGTGAAAGTTCCTTTCAGTTTAATTTTTATATGGGGTACAGGTTATTTTGTGTGTTCACTTAGATAGTATCAACCTCTTCATTGGCCCCTATGGAAATATACCCCTACACATGGAAGGGAAGGTCAGCTTCACACTGAATGTTTTTTTAGGCCTTTCACCCATCTGGTGGTCATAGTGGTTCCCTGTCTCCCTAAATTTGTTTTCTTCCTTCAAGGCTGCAGCAGCATCTGCCCTGCCCTTCTTCAGCACATTCCTGTCAAAAACCGTAGAGCCATGGGTATAGCAGTCTTGGGACAACAACGCCTAGTATTAGAGCAGGAGCTAGAGTTGAATCTTGTCTCCTCCTCTTATTAAATACTGTCTTTGGGCCAATCTTGGGGCAGTTTCCTGTGCTGCAGACTGAGGTTGATCCTGGTTCCTGTGGCGTGCTAGAGCTGATGTGGTGCCTCACTCCCAACTCTGAGCTCATTGAGTCCCATGGGTGGCTTCCGCCGTGGTGGGAGTACTCACACCACCTGTCAGTATGCAAAGCAGAGGCAGTTCATGGAGGGCCAACTGAGGGGGCAATCATAAAACATTTATCAACACACCATTAAGTAGTTCAGACCTCATAATATTTGGGGGAGATAATTGAGATGATATCTGGGGTATATGCTCAGGATGGGGGAAAGTACATAGTAAGTGCTCAATTCTTCTTTTTTTTTTTTTGAGTTGGAGTCTCATTCTTTTGGCTAGGTTGGAGTGTAGTGTCACAAGCATGGCCACTGCAGTGTCGGCCTACTGGGCTCAGGCAGTCCTTCCGCCTCTGTCTCCCGAGTAGCTGGAACTACAAATATGCACCACCAAGTCTGGCTAATTTTTTTATTTATTGTGGAGATGAGGTCTAGCCAGGTTGCCCAGGCTAGTCTGGAACCCATGAGCTCAGGCAATCCTCTCGCCTCGGCCTCCCAAAGTGCTGGGTTTATAAGCATGCGCTACCAACCTGGCTCAATTCCTTTATTATTCTCCCCTTTCATTTCCTCCTTTATTCCAAGACAAGTCTTCATGAATCTTCCTGACCTTTTGACTGTGCTTTGATTTTTTTATTGTATTTGTTTCTGTATTATATTTGAGGTATTTGTTACTTTAATAGAATTTTAACACTGAGGGACAAGCATATATAGATCATCTAGACAAGTTGCTGTTTTCTGAGGAAGAAATTACAGCACAGAGAGGTTGAGTAATTAATTCAAGGTTACACAACTGTTCATGGTCTAGAAGAGATTGTCAGTCTGAACCAAGGCATACGACTCCCAGTTTTCATCCCCTACACACTACTTACCCTTTAAAGACTGCTATAATGATTTATTATAGTTGCCACACACAAAAAAATCACAACACATATTAACATAAATACAAATAAATGAAAAAAATTACTAGTTAACTCCCCGGTATACAATGTCTTACTTGTGGTCTACTTGCACATATTAACTGTAGGTGACACAGGCATAATTTTTGTGTTGTGCATTTTTTTACTTAATATGATATATCTTGACTTAAATTGACTTTTTAGACACTGTATTAATGGAATAATTTTTTTTAGCTTTCAGAAAGAGCTTTCACTTGAAGATAAAGAAGAACTTGCTAACTACAAAAGAGGAATCGATGCTAAGCTTTTAGCTGCACTTCCTAAAGGTGAGGCTTTCGCCAATGGTTAGCCTTGTCCTGGCGTGGTCGCACTGTGCCGGCTGATTTCTTTGAGAACTCTCTCACCGAGCCCCAGGTTGTGGTCTCCTTTCGGTCCCGTCCTGCCTCATCCAAGAGTTTGCTTCAACTCATGAATGTCTGTCTTGCATGTGCAACCCTCACCTTTCTGCTCCTTCTTTCTTTTTAATTTTAGGCATCCTCAAGTTTTCCCTGGAGGCTGGTGTGGCAGGAAAGGCAGGGAGGGTAGACTCAGCCTGACCTCTTCTCTCTTCTGCCTTTAGCCTTCTCCAAGGGCAGTGAGTTCTGCCCATTTCTTCTCTGTCCACTCACTCCAGCTGCCTCCAGAGGCTGCCTCAGGCCTCTTCCCATTGTTAGGGCTATTACACTTAATATCCTTTAGCTCCCTGTTGGGCTATAAGTAGCTGTGCAGACTCTATGTGTTCATCTTTCTTCTTTCCCAAGCAGGCTCTCACACATGTCTGATGAGTCACTACTTCCACTGGTAAAGGTGCACGTGCAGGAAAATATTTGCACCAACCATAAGTCACATCCCCTTAGTTTTGCCTGTGAAATGATGTAAACATAGCTTGGACTTTGTTTTCACCAATGGTAACACTAGCACAAGGAACGATCATTTAGTACCGGCGCAGGAAATGTCTTCATCCCAAGTGAGCTGTGTAACCCCTTCTTTAGAAGAAACAGGGTTGATAGAGGGGTGGATTTTTTTTCTGCTCTGAAACAAAGAAAAGAAAAACAAAACAAAACAAAAAAACACCACATACAACATCGAGCCCAAAACAAATTAGACCAAAAGAAGAATTCTCTTACAAGAAGCTAAATCCAGCCTAAAAGGCCTCTGACAAATTGGAATATATCCTGAGGAATTGAATGGATGATGTGCCCAGACATAGTCTGATGAGAATGGATATTTGAAAGACTCCAGGAATTTGGCCTGGTGAAGAAAACTTAAACAGGGACATGTTGCAATTTTCAAGTACTTACAGCACTGTCAACCGAAATATAGCCTTATTCTGTGTTGCTCCAGAGGCCACAAAAGAGAATAATGTGTAGAATTACAAGGAGGTAGTTGCAATTTCATTTGAGAAAGAAATTCTGAGCCTTCATGGTACCTGGAAATGCAGTGGACTACACTGTGGTCTCCTAAGCTGTCCCTGGTGAGCGTTCAAGGGAAAGTCACAGATGGTCTTTGTGGCCAGGGTAGGATGGATGCTGTCAGAAGGTTCCCCTGTGGATGGGTACACAGAGTAGCTGTGAGATAGAACAGTTCTTCCAATGTTTAGGACTCTCTATGAAAGACAAAGAAACCCCAATTAATCTGAGCCAAACTTGTGTTTAAAAATCTAGGCAGATGATCAAAACAAAGTATAAGAATGAACAGATTGATATTAGCAATAGCTGAGAAGGATTGACTAGTTAGGCAAAGCTCTATATAGCAAAAGTTGTTTCCCCCAGTCTGTAGAGTCTCTCTTTTTCTTTCTCATGCATCCTGGTTCCTTTTTTGATAAATAATATCAGAGATAATATTATGAGCAGAAAAATTAAAAATAGTATGAGATGCTAGGTTCCCTAAAGTTCAACAAAGTGTAACTTCCTGTGCAACAACATTTAAAAACACCTAAGTTTATTGACCAGTTGTATTAGAAAATGTATCAGAATTGATTATAGAAATTTAATTTTCACCAAAGTTTTATATATTAACCAGACTTGTTTCCAAATTCACAAGCTCCCTTAACTCTTTCAAGCATGCGTTAGAAGCACCAGTGCCCCTCTCCCCTGGACTTCATCCAAATTCCGCAGTCTTATTTTATATCTCTTTACTTTTGATGAATTTGGGTTGGGTAGGTATAATACATATACATTTGGAAAGACCCATCTATTACCAGCAATTTGTTTCTCCATCTCAACAGATACATTAATGATTTTACTAGGTCCTGGCAATGTAATGTTTAAAAAGGAATTGATTATAATTTTGTTTTAATGACATTGAGTTTTATGTTCGTTTATAAGATTACGAAGTCTCTTTCTGTTCATTTAATAAGGGATTCTTGCTCTTGTGAATCTGAACATTACAATGTTCATTGTTGTTCCTCTAAGGGACTTCTATAGTCATGTATCACAAACAGTAATATAGGGATTAAAAATCTTTACCTATTTATGGTTATGCTATTAAAATGGATTCTCCGGCCAGGTTTAGTGGCTCAGCCTATAATCCCAACACTTTGGGAGACTGAGGTGAGTAGATTGCCTGATCCCGCAGGTTCCAGACCAGCCCGGGCAACTTGGCCAGACCTTGTCTCTGCAATAAATGAAAAAAAAAAATTAGCCAGGTGTAGTAGCACGTGCCTGTAGTTCCGGCTACTTGGAAGACTAAGGTGAAAGGATCCCCGGAGCCCAGGTTGATGCTGGGGTGGCCGTGAGTGTGCCACTGTACTCCAGCGTGGGCAACGAGTGAGACTTCCACTCAAAAAAAAAAAAAAAAAAAAAAGGCCGGACTGAATGACTCAGCCTGTAATCCCAGCACTTTGGGAGACCGAGGCAAGTGGATTGCCTGAACCCGTGGGTTCGAGGCCAGCCCAGGCAACTTGACAAGACCTTGTCTCTATAATAAATAAAAAAATTAGCCAGGCATGGTAGCGTGCGCCTTTAGTTCCGGCTATTTGGAAGGCTGAGGCAGAAGGATCACTGGATCCCAGTAGTTCGACACTGGGGTAGCCAGGAGCCTGCCAGTGCACTCCAGCCTGGGTGACGGAGTAGACTCCACCTCAATAAATAAAATGGATTCTCTATTGAAAAATCATGAAATGGACCCAATTTATTACTCTATTTAGCAGCTTTATTAAGATGAAATGCAAAAACCATGCAATTCATTAATTCAAAGTATATAATCCAGCAACTTTTCATGTAGTCACAGAACTGTGCATCCATCAGCAAGATTTTAGAACATTTTCATTACTCCAAAAAGAAACCCCATACCCTTTTACCATCAACCCTCCCCCTTATTCCTCTAGTTTGAAATTACTTGTTTTATAAGCTGCTTGTCTTTATATTAGTGGCTGCCATCCAAGTGGAAAAGTTAAAGGGCATTACTCCTGTGGGAAGATCAGTATTCAGAATATTCCAGATCTGGCCTATGTTCTTAGGCTGTCAAGTGAAGGATGAGAGAGAAGTGTTCTTGGCAGTACCCCACCACTTACTTTTCTTTGGAAGATTCTACTGTACTCACATTTGGAGGCCTGAATGCAACAATATCTTAACCAAAAATCTTCTATTTCTTAGAGCTAATTGAAGAAACTATGTTTCCCAAGAAAAGCACCTAGCAGATCAAATTATCCAGAATATTGGTGTTATATAGTCTTATTGCAAAGTATGTTAGGTAATTAAATAACTTCATGAAGTGTTATAGCTCTGCTGTCAAATTCCCTTAAATTGCCTTACTTGGAAATTGGTCAACCAATTTTTGTCAGAAATAACTAAAGATATATTCTCATTGAATCCATATTGCCACAGAAGTACCACTGCAGATTACTCAAATAAGAGTAATAGACCAAGAGAGCAGGTATAATAAGGGCTAGGTCAGTGCATGTACAATCTTCATGTATTTGAAAACAATTTCTTATTACAATGGAAATTAGGTCGGACATGGTGGCTCATGCCTGTAATCCCAGCACTTTGGGAGACCAAGGCAGGAGGATTGATTGAACCCAGGAGTTTAAGACCAGCTTAAGCAACATAGCAAGATCTCTTCTCTACAAAAAACAAAAAATTAGCCTTGTGTGGTGGGACATGCCTGTAGTCCCAGCTACTCAGGAAGCTGAACTAGGAGGATCGCCTAAGCCCAAGAGGTCAAGGCTGTGGTGAGCCATGATCATGCTTGGCGATAGAGACCATGACTCCAAAAAGAAAAAAAAGAAGAAATTAGGCCATAATGATTAGTATTACTAAAATTGAACCACTTATATGAATTGTCAGCATATAATCAATTGAATTACAGCCATTTAATTTTTAAAACCTTTTTTATTCCTTATCTTTAGGAAATACACACTGAAGAATTTGGAAATAAAGGGGCATCATGTTGCATTGGCATCATGTTACTCTTAAGTGGTTCAGAAAAAATACTACGTAAACGTGCTCACATACATACATATATGCACATATAAATATACTTCTGGAGATAAGAAAAAGGATAAAATGAACTAAATGTAGTGAATTGTTAACATGTTGTGAAGGATGTCTTTTAAATTTTCTGTATGTCTGAAATTATATTAAATTTTTTTTTTAATTGTAAAAGAAAACCATCAAGATTATAAATCAGAAGATGACATTAGAATTGTAGGTAGTCTCTATAAATGAAACAGTGGAGTTGCAACATAGATTTCTACAAGGGTGACTTCTATCCATTTTTTTTAGTATTAGCTTTACACTAGTATTAACATTTTAAAATATATTATCAATAATAATGTAAAACAAACATATAATTATACATGATGTTACATGTTTGTTTTACTAATTTTACTTTTCAATTGTAGACTTGGGGAGAAGACCAACTCAAAATGTTTCCCTTTTACTTCCTTTTTGTCTTGCACAGCTTTCTTTCTTATAATCTTATGTCTGTAGGAATGAGGCAAGTCTTGGTAATTGAAAAATATATTGATTAGAAATAGACTGATAAGTAATTATTTGTTTGCTGGAGGCGGTTTTTAAATTTTTCATTAAAAATTCACAATAGATCTCCACTAAGAGTTAATAAACTTCAACAATACATTTCAAGTATAGTTTCATTGATGACATCATTTTATACCTCAGTAAAATGATTGGAGAGGACCTCAAGGTGTCATTTCAAGCACCCGCTGCCTTAATGGATACTAGCTTCCCTTTGGGGAACAGTAGGCTTGAGACAATTTCGAGTTTGAATCTAGGCCTGACTAAAGAGCACAGTGACGGGCCAGTGGTGTCTGTGTTGGGTAACCTAGGGTCTGGGTGTCCAATGCATAGGCTGCCTGTTGGAAGTCCTGTACTGGGTGGGATCAGTAGTTCTTATTGGTTCTCAATCCAGGACAGTTCTCAGGAGGCTTTGGAAACATAGGAGAGCATTTTTGTGTCACAGTAACTGAAGTGATTTCACATTTAGTAGGAGAACCAGGGAAATCTACCTCCTGCAGTGCAGGCTCACAACAAAGGCATTTTCCAGCCAGAAGGCCATTAGCACCCCTATTGCAATCTGTGAGCTCCTCCAGAGCCAGTCTTCTGAGTCTGCAACCCTGGCAAGGTGCATCTGCATGTCTGTTAGGTACTGTCCAAAGAACTTTTCTTCTCATACCCAGGAGTGAATCGCTATCTATGACAGTTCACTGATGGATTGCATAGCCTATTTTGTCCAGAAAGGGACAGAACTCTCCCTGGACAAGTAGGATAACTTGACTTGCCCACTGTCCCTCTCTCTGCTCTCTCTGCCCTAGGCTTGAGGTTCCACTTCTGTGATTAACTACTGTTCTGGTTCCTTTCTCATATCATCTTAGTCCTTATAGAATATTACAGCAGGGTGGAATAGTAGTAGGAAAAGTCTAGCTTGGTTGTGGCTGGGAGGTTTGCTTCATCTCTCAATTAGTTGATCTTTCCTTCTAGAATACAGGGAATAAAGAATGGCAGGAAAGAACTTGCTGCTTAGCTTTTCACATACTACAGAATCTTTTATAAAACTCTTCAGTTGCATAATTTATTTTAAAAACTTAAAAATTAGTTAAACGTTTAATGAAATGGAAGTGACTTACAGCTGTCCCTAATTAAAACAAAAGATGTATATCTTAACTTTTTTCCAGTGGAAGTTACATGACACACTCCATGTTAATGTTTTTTGTATTCACCCAGTTGAAATAATTTGGGACGAGAAAAAGGAAAGTTATGCTTTCCCATTATGCTACTCGGGACCCATTGATTTACTTGATTTCTCAGTTATGTATTTGTGGCGTGGGTTTAAGTCATCTCTTTCAGAGCCCTTGGAATTTGGTTGCAGTAGCTTCTTGAGCAGTCTTATGAAAAATAGGGCCCCATTCTCCTCTTTGGGGCTTAAATAATTAATTCGAACTCTTTGGTTTTTGTTATCCTCGAACATATTTTCAAAATATGTACTACCAGCCATTAAAGTTTTATCACCATAATCTCACTAGAGCTAATTTGTTAACTAGGAAGCTATTATTAGCCAAACTTTCTCTCCCAGGGCAGCATGGCAGGATGCACTGTTATTATTATGCCCGTGTCTTCTAAATAGGAACACAACTAATACTGGAGGAGGCACATCTCAGCTAGTCTGGTTCCTGGGAAGGCCAACTGAGAAAGACTTTTTAAAAGCCAGAGAGAGAGACTTTTGTTGAATCCTTAACAAAATCCAATTCAACTGAAGTTTAAAGGTAGTTATCATTTAAAAATAAATAAATAAAAACAAGGCTTATATCTCTGAACACAAAAGGCAATATGAAATTTATATGTGTATAGGTGTAGGTTTGACTCAATATTAAAAATTACATTAAAAAAATAAATCAGAAATGGAAGCAGTTGAAAATTAAAATCCATGCTTGCACTCTCCCTTCTTTGGGTTTCTCCTGTGACTCAGCCTTTTGAAACTTTTTGTTGGCCCCAGGCTATCCTGCCACCCACTCTCTCTCCCACCCGGTTCTGAGTCCTCAATGGGAGTCCTCAAATGAGCCCTTATGAATTAAGGCAATTGAGGAGGAGGTAAGAAGAGAGACCTTTATTCTCCTCCAATTTTGGCCATTCTCCAAAGAATCGATTGTCTGACATCTCCATCATGTCCCTGTAGTCAGTATCACATGAGAAGCTCTCACCCTCAGCAGAACATTTGTTCTGGTCATCCAACACTTCTTGAAGAATTGGGGTAACTACCTTATCCATCATCCACCAAAATTATAGCAAGGAAACATGCTAACATTTCCTTCCAGTGAAAGCCAGTGAGGGGAGGCTTAGAATCTGTATTAATCCAAACTGTGGCTAATCGAGGCAACCACATTAGGTTCCATTGGAAGCACAATCAGATGGCCACAGATATTTACAGATTAAATGACAGGGTGAAATGGGAGTGGCCATGAGCTCATAATGGTAGCTTACGGATCACATGGGGTACATGATACTCATCTCTACTTTTGCAAACATTTTCCATAATGCAAGCGTAGACTACTCTGTTAAGCCAAAAAAAGTTAGAAACAGATATTGGGATTTCTGCTTGAAAACACCTTACTAGAGAGATCTTGCTAGTCAGGCCTCCCTTGGCTCCCAGGATGGAACATTAATAGAACCTGCTCCCTTACCCTGTGTGATTTTACTTCTTCACATAGCCTGTGCCATACATGTGAATGTGTATGTGTCTGTGTGTGCACATGCTTACTTATATGGCCTCTGCCTCCCCTCCCAGGAAACAACCTCCGGGAAAGCCGGAACTTGTCAGTTTTGAATATGGGAACCAAGAACCAAGAATTTGTTCAGTCAACAAATACTGCATGAGTGAAACAATAGGGCATGACTACTAAATACTAGTAGTCATTTCTTTTTGTTCTTTTTCTTTTCTTTTAGTTGCAGAATTAAGAAAAATCTTTGAACCAAAGAGGAAAGAATTTTTAGAAATGAAAAGGTAAGATATGTATAGCACAAAATTGGGAGGTAGAGTGCCAGTGCCTGGCAGAGCCCCCCTCAGTGTCCTTTGGGATTGACTGCTGCTTCACCGTGCCTCTTTTGGTATATTGCACAGAAAAGAAAGAATTGCCAGGCGCCTCGAAGGGATTGAAAATGACACCCAGCCCATCCTCTTGCAGAGCTGCACAGGGTTAGTGACTCATCGCCTGCTGGAGGAAGACACCCCTCGGTACATGCGAGCTACCGACCCAGCCAGCCCCCATATCGGTGAGCACGCATGCTGGAGCCCCATCCTCGAGCAGGGTGTGTGACCCGGCCTGTCACACATTGTCTTGTTGATCTAATGGCCCCGGAAAATGAGACATTCCACAAAAGTGAATTGTGTGGCTAAAATGTTTAATCAAATGTATTTGTTAGAAACAACAACACATGTCAGCTCCACCCTAGTATGGCCCTCCAGTGTCACAGCAGTCAGAAATGTCTCCTTGGCATATTGCTGTCACTGATGACCAATCCCTTCCCCCAAGTCTTGCTGTGAACTGTGTCTGTCTTCCTCTATCCTCAGAGCCCAGCACAGGATGTGCTGTCAGAGGCCCTCTGCAAATGTTTGTTTGATAGAGGAAGGAATGAGATGGGTGCTTCTCGTAGCAGTTCTCCTAACAGGTTTACACAAATGCCAGGCTGCCCAGTGCAGGAGGTGGCTGCGCTCAGCAGTGAGAGCTAAAAGCAAAGCAGGACCTTGAAGGATTAGTGCTTAACGAAACAAAAGTCTATTTAAATTATGTTAATGTGTGTAATTTTTAAACCTATAGTATATTTATTTCCTATTAAACAGGAGGTTTGAGCAAGTATGACTTAACTTTTCCTTGTACTTGGAGTCCTTGTTATGGGCATGAAATATTCAACTTGACCTTAGCAGAGGGTGACACACATAGGCTGCTCTTCACATCCCAGTCCCTGACTCTGAGGCTTTCTGCCTTTTTATAGCCAGTGTTTTCCAGTTTCTTCCTCAGAGACGGTTGTTGATCTCACATCATGTTATCAGTTTGCTGGTCTCTAGAGTTTCGAATTTCCTGTGGCCATGAATGAAAAATCAAGAATAGACAGATCAGAGTGTCAAAATTTATAACCAGAAATAAATCCTAGTGTATATAAAATTTCAGCCTATGTAGTATATAATGGTTTAAGCATCACATGTTATTGAGAAAAAGAATTATTATTTCATAAAACAGTACTGGGAAAATGGGTTAGCTATGGAGAGGGGGAGGGGACATATTCCTCTTCTCACTTTATACCAAATCCCAAAATTAGATCGAGTTACTCATGTGATTAAATTGAAGAAAATAATTTAAAACATAGATTAATATTTAATTCAAGTGGAATGGAAAAGGACTCCCAAAGCACAGAAACAGCTAAAGAAATCACAAAATGACCAGGTCCCTTCACTTGACTACATATCAATTAACGTCTGCACTTCAAAGACAGTCTTACAAATACTTGAACAATATAGCAAAAAGTAAGCCACAAGAAAGTTTGAAAATATTCATGAAGAGGACAACAGGCTAATATTCCTATAAAATTTTACACAAACCAATAAAAATGACACTGTGAACCAATAGAATATAGAGAAATAAGTGTAAGCAGGTAGGTATTCCAGAGAAGAAAAAGGTAATTCAGATAGCCAATAAACATGAAAAATGCATATTTTTATGCTAATCGAAGGCAGGTTTTTAAAAAATGAACACCAGTGTTTGTGAGGAAGCATACATTGCAAATATGAGTATACATTGATACAGACTTTATAGAAATTAATTTGACAGTCTAGCAAGTATCTTAAAATGATGTATCCTTTGGCAAAGCAATTCTACTTTTACTAGTCTTTCTGTTGTGTTAGTAAGCAGAAAATCAGATCAGAAGTTAGAAACAACTGTAATATCCTGCGATATGGGAGGGTTAAATTATCTATAGAATGCATATGAGAAATAATATTATGAAGCCTTAAAAATGATAACTTCATACACAAATAAAGTAAAGGGCATGGGTGTAAGAATGAATGGAATATACATATGAGATAAGAGGATACCACCAGTAAGAGCAGAGTATAGTGGGAAATAAATTGGTTACCTTCAGTAAGAGCAGAGTGTTGTGGGCAATAAGTTGATTAAGAAAAATAAGGTTGGATTATTAAAAGGTTTAAATTGACAGACAAAAGAAAAAAGTGATGACTTCAAAGCAAAATTTCCAAATATAGGAAAGTATTTGATATAGAATATTATTAACATTAAATAGTTTATATAAACCAAAAGAAGAAATCCACTATACAAAAGAATAGAAGGAATACAAAAATGTCAAGTCATTAGTATGCTTATTGGTGGTCTGGGCTTTTACCTTCATGTGGTCTCATGTCCATTTTCTACATCAGGCATGTGTGCTGCAATTGAAAAAAAGCCACTCTGTTAAAAAAAAAAGCAAAAAAACTGGTGAATATCGACAAAGGCTGTACTGTAATGGTTACCATCGTTCCTGTGAAACCACAATCCATCAGTTGTCCAGTTACAGCAGTTCAGTTGTCTGCTATCTTTTCTAGAGGACTCTGAACCTCACCTGTGGCCTCATAAGTGAAATGGTAAACTTAAAAAAAAAAAAAAAAAGTAAATAAATAAGGGGACGTAAGCACCAAGCAAGGACTGAGGATCTCTGGGAGTGAAGGGATGAGCTTCCGTCAGCTGCCTCTGTGAGCCGGTGCCCCCTCCATAGCTCCTGTCTAGTCGCTGAAGACCACCCGCTGTCTCCACAGCCCAGGTGCATCTTTTCTCTATGTGAGAAATCGGTCCTGCACAGTGTGGGTGCCCAGGCATGTCATGTGTGCAGTGTAAAGCATCTTTATGTGTGTCTATGTGTGTCTTTACTTGAGATCTGTATGTATTATCCATGTGATCTTCTTGTAGGCCGATCCAATGAAGAGGAAGAAACTTCTGATTCTTCTTCAGAAAAGCAAACTCGATCTAAATACTGCACAGAAACCTCGGGCATCCAGGCTGATCCATCCTATAGTTCAGGTATCATGGATACCCATGGGCTAGAGTCCAAAGCTGAAAGAATCGCAAGGTACAAAGCAGAAAGGAGGAGGCAGCTGGCAGAGAAATACGGCCTGACTCTGGATCCCGAAACCGACTCTGAATACTTGTCCCGGTACACCAAGTCCAGGAAGGATACTGACGCTGTCGAGAAACGTGCGGGAAAGAGTGACATACCTGAAGAATCCAGCAAAGATTTGAGTGCTCCGTACTCCGGGACTGAGACAATGGGGCTCAGGACCTGTGCTGGTGAACCCAAGGACTATGCCCTCCATGGAGGCGATGGCGTGTCCGACCACGAAGTGCTGCTGAATGTGGAAAACCAAAGACGAGGTCAAGAGCTGAGTGCCACCCAGCAGACCCAAGACCTGCTCCCGACCGTCGAGAGTTCTTCGTCTTTCTCATTCTCGGGCCGAGACTCCTCCTTCACTGAAGTGCCAAGGTCCCCAAAGCAAGTGCACAGCTCCTCCCTGCAGCAGCCCGCCTCCCGGAGTCCCTCCGCTGGTGACTCCCCACTGCTCCCTGAGGCCCGACCCAGGTAAGCATGCAGCCCAGTGCTGACCACCCTGAGCCCTGGAGCACACAGGTGCCTTCTCTTTACCTCTCCTGGGCTCAAGTTTGGGTATTCTCAGCATCCTGTGGAAGTCAGGACTCACTGGAGAAATAACAAGATATACGATCTTTTAATTTTCAGAATATCAAAGTAGTCTCTGCCAAAGAAGCATCACACTCTCTTTGGGTTTTTTATGTTCTGATAAATATGTATCTATGTAGGAAAATATTTCTATTTGTTTTTCACAAAATGGTGGACACTGGTCACCTCTAAGTGACAGTGACACATCTGAAGCAGATCTCTTTAGTTACTGAAATTTATGAAGCCAGACTCACACCATACTTGATCATCCAGGCTAAATTATTTGGTGATATTCACTTCTAAGATAATTAAATAGTACAGCTCCCAAGAATGTATTTTGAGGGCTTTTGTTCAGCTTTATAATTTAACTACTTGAAACTTAGGGACCATGTCTCATATTTTGAAATGAGGGACCTTTGTTTGGGAAATCCACATCTCATAGTAGAAACTTTTTTTATTTACTCTCTATTTAAGGGAATCACATGTTTTCTGAGTAGAGTAAAGAAATCTAACATATTCTAATTTAGAAAGACTATTAGAGATATACAGTCACATTTGGGAATAAAAGAGTAATCTAATTTTGGGTTGGCATATAATCACAGCTAAGTTGTTAGTCAGCCTAGATCACATATGATAGATTCTGAGTAAAATTTTGAATCAGTAATAATAGTAATTAAAACTTTGTTGAGTATTCCTAGTAAAAAGACAGTGTCCTTAATAGTTTTGTGTGAGTTAATATCTTAATATTCAAAAATGTATATAAGTTTAAATGTATAAAAGTCTTAAGACCTAGGGAAAAGCATTGTTGATTTAATTAGTGCTGTAACAAAACAAAGCCACTTCTTTTTACTCATAAGTTATTTTGAAGAGGCATATTGCCTACAGGTATTCATAAACCTAACCTTAGCTTCACAGTGCTGTACTTTCATGTAAAAAACTACAAAAAAGCCAGAAATTATAAGGGAATTCCAGAGAGGCACATGCTTTATTTTTTTAAGTTATTCAAGCTGTATAATTCTATGATTTACAGGCAAAGAAACACAAATCGTTTCATATACTTGTAAAATACCTGAGCTATATTTACATAAGGAGGACTGTAAAATGCATGACAGATTTGACATTTTAAATTAAGATTGACTTTGTATTGACTACAGTTATTCAGTCTATAAAAATGAATTAAAAGCGGATTAACGTTCTGTTTTGATATTCCTTATCTAGAGCCAGGAAATTCAAGTTTGAGAAAGTTATTGTTGCCTGATTTCCATTTGGGAGGAAGTAAGGCAAATAAAAAAAAAATTATAATTTAAAACTACAAAAGAAACCTCTTTGGTGACCTAAATAACAATAAGTGAAAAATAATAACATCATCTGATATGGAAATATGTAACAGAAACGTTTAAGAGGATCAAGACGTGAGGAAAAAGTATCCATAAATATCTTAATGCTGTGTTTGTTCATGGATCTGTTCTATCACTGACATGGAATGTTTTTCTCACTATTATACTGTCTTATCACCTAGTACTGCCAAGTTTTTTGGCTGTTAAATCTCTGAATTAACTCATTCCCATTTCATCATCTTATTTTGTGCTTGCTAACAAGAAGTCCCTTTATTATTTAAATATGAATAGACTACTCATGAATATACCCTCAAAAGATGACCTATAGTGTCCTAAAAATTCAAATGTCAGATATCCAATACTCAGTTTTTGAATATGCTCAACACCAACACCTGTACACACCTGTGCATCTATAACAGAATAATCATTGGAGCTTCTACTTCACTGGGCTATACTGTTTTTAAGCATTGATAAGCTACATAACAGTCTTTAGGATCATTTTATCTGAGTAATAAGTTTACTTTGGAATTATTAAACTGAATACAGTTTATATGATAAAGAAGACTTTTAAAAACTGATTGATGTTAGAGGGTCTTTAGCTCAGAAATCCTGACAGTTGCCCAGGAATTCCTATGAACACCTTGTTCTGAAGAAAACTAAGAACACACATAGTAACAAAATAGACGAAATAGAGTATGAGACACCATCAGCCCCCACTTCTCTAAGCTTTCCAAACCTTGTAAAGTTGGAATAGTAGAAATTGCGTTTTCTGGAGAAGAATCATTACAGAGATGAGCCACTCTTTGTTCATTCAGTCACTGTGAATTTTGGAATAGAATTCAAAGGAATTTGAGTCCTATGGATTATTCAAATTTTTAAACAACCGAGTCCCCACTTTTACTAGAAGCCCTGAATTCAAAGCTCTTGTTGAATTGCTACTTTGTGCATCTTTTTTTTGTTTTTATTGATTTATTTATTTTGAGTTGTAGTCTCACTCTGTCGCTCAGTCTGGAGTGCAGTAGCACGCTCATGGCCCCCACAGCCTCAACCTGCTGAGCTCAGGTGATCCTTCCGCTTCAGCCTTCCAAGTAGCTGGAACTACAGGCACACACTACCATGCCTGGCTAATTTTTATTTATTGTAGAGACGAGGTATCACCAAGTTGCCCAGGCTGGTCTCGAACCCGTGGGTTCCGGCAGTTCTCTCACCTCAGTCTCCCAAAGTGCTGAGATTACAGGCTTGAGCCACCACACCCGGCCTATTTTTTTTTTTTTAAGGCAATGTACCATGTTTGTTACTTTTCAGTAAAGAAATTCACTGCCCAAGTCTCTCAGCTGTGTTTTCTGAGCAACAGAGGTCACTCTGTTCTCAGGCCGCAATGTGACTGGCCAAGAGGAGAATGGAAAGGAGCTTACACTTCATATTCTAGTGGCGAGCAACTCTAGAAAACCCTTGTTCATGATTTTTTTTTTTTAATTACTCTCCTGCGATCCCTCACCACTCCTCCTCCCACTTAGCCAGTAGTGTCACTTGTGACCAGGACATGAGGAGGTTTCATGCAGAGCTGAGGCTGACATGGGAACAGGGAGAGTTGCTATTGGTTGATGATGGTCTGGGGCAGGCTCCCCTTGGACCCCAAGTGCTGTGGATCAGCTCAGGGAGACAGACCAGCACTCTCTGGAATAAAACTTTCCTGGAACACCTTGACTCGATGCAGACTGAGCCACTGAGAAGGAAAGTGCTTATGCGAGGCGTTTGTGATGTCTATCCAATTGCATCTGTCCATCTTCTCTGATGAGAAGTTTGAGTCTAAAACTGTCTCCAGCACTTCCAGCTTGTGTGGCTTTCACTGTTGACGGCCCATCTCCGTGCACTAATGGAGATATCTGCAGGGGAGCACGGCACATGACCTTCTACCTTCTGTCCAGCTCCTTCCTGTCTCTTTGCAGGCAGGGTCTCTGAGCAGGCTGCAGGAGCAGAGTGGAGCCTCATGGGAGGCACATCCCTCAGGAACCCTCTCTAGAGAGGAGGCTGCTCTCAGGCCCTCCTCACAGCTTGCGCTGTTCCCGGAATGGAACCCTTTGCACCTTGCAGTCCCTGTACCCTCAAACATCTGTGCTCTCTATTTTGCTATGGTATGTCTTGACTGTCAGTAAATAGTTAATGTATTCCCCCCCTTTTTTTTTTTCATTTTATTCTGTTCTTACTGGCTAGTGGTAATTAATTCCTGCTCATTGAATTAAATGTAAATATGTCTCCCAAATTACTAGCTACATTGCTTACTCACTAATAATTCAAACATGTGTAAGATTTTAAGTGCAAAATTTTGTCCTTGAGCGTGGACCCTTGCACATGTTGCACCTGTGCATATACACAGTCATTAGCAGCTTTTCCAAACAAGCAACTTTTAGTACATTAAATTAATTTTAATGAGATTCAGAAGTTAATAGCCGTTCTTTTTTTTTTTGAGGGAGTCTCACTCTGTCCCCCAGGCTGGAGTGCAGTGGCATGCACACTCACGGTCACCCCAGCGCTGACCTGCTGGGCTCCGACGATCCTTCCTCCTTAGCCTTCTGAGTAGCCAAAACTACAGACGTGTGCTACTACGCCCAGCTATTTTTTATGTTATTGTAGAGACGAGGTCTCAAGTTGCCCGGGCTGGTCTCGAACCCACGGGTTCAGGCAATCCACTTACCTTGGCCTCCCAAAGTGCTGGGATTACAGGCTGAGCCACCAAGCCCAGCCAATTGCCATTCTTAATGTTTTATAATTAGAAGTTGTTATATAATTAGAGCTGGACACCCACATGGTGAAGCTATTTTTACTGATCTAGATATGACTTCACTTTGGTAGCAGGAAGCACTTTTTAGTTTCTTGACTCTTAGGAGTTACAGGGAGTTAAAGCGTGTCATTATATGCTGTCACATACTTAGGGATGCCTAGCCAAGAACCATGCCTGACCTTTATGGAAACTTAAGGTGAGTTATTATTTCCTGGTAATATAATTCTCCACCAGCCAGTTTTCACACCAAAATATGATCTGTTACACTTGAAGTCACCACCTCCTTGTCCTTGTCCCTAGTGACCCTATAATACTCTCCCAGTGGAGATGACAGGTTATCTCTGCCCTAAGGGGAATTGGTTCACCCTCAAACCCCGCAAAATAAATTATCTATTTGTTTATGAAAACAAGACTTTTAAGTACCTATGTAAACACACATGAACTATTTCTGAAATGCCCCTCATCTTTTTCCCAAATCTCTAACCTTGAAAGGACACAAACAATAAACTCTCTTTTTCACAATAATGACAAATAGCACTGACATAAATAAAAAATTTAAATCTCAGAGCCAGAAGTTACCCTGGAGATTACTTAGTTTAAAAATATATTTTATACATGGTAAAAACTAAAAATTTAAAAAAATAATGTGATCTAGACCATATTACTACTTTGTCAAGACTGAGACCACCATCCATTATCCTATCCATTCATTCAAGTTCTGTGAATCCATCAGAGTTCTTCCTACTACACTCTTTATTACATCAGTGCTATGTTTCATCACAATGGAGGAAGAGTTTGCTATTTTTACCCTTTGAGAGTTGGAGATTTTAAGAAGGGAGATCAGGCCATTATAGAAACATACTATACTATGGGTTTATAAGAGGTATTTAAAAAGCTTTGTCCTCAAAAAATGAAAGCTTGTCCATCTAGGATGATGGAAACTCACTGGACTCTATCTATCTTTCCATGCCCTATCACTTTTGACTCATGGGTTAGTTTTAGTCCTAAGGTAGTTTAAGAAAAGTATATTGAGACTTCAGTGCCAGGCACTGTGCTCCTAGTTGAGCATACCACTTTTTTTTTTAAGTGTGGGAAATAACTACAACACAATGGGGTAAATATGGTTCTGGAGACTAAGGATTGGGTATTAATTCCTCCCTCTTGGAGAGGTGGGCCAGGTCCTCAAGGATAGAGGGGCTTGCTAGACATGAAGGGAGACTGTTCCAGGAAAGATGGCACAGATGCTGGGTGTAGACCTGGAAGGAGGAAGATAGGAGGAAGAAGAGAACCAAGTGGAAATAGTCACGGAGCACCTCGGGTGACATGACGAATATTTGACCTTTACCATATGGACAAATGGGAGGTTCTTGAAGGACTGTAAAGCAAGAGTGATTGATTATGTATTTTAGAAATATCGCTTTTGGGAGTGGAGAACTGGTCTGAAGAATAATCATTTCCTATCAGGGAGGCCAATTAAGTGGAGGCTACAGTTACCTGGACCTGAGATAATGAGGTCTCTGGTTCCAGGTAGGGCTCTGTCATTTATATGGTCCTATTTGGCACTACATTAGATGATCGGAGACATATTGATGAGGGGGTGATCAGGTTTTTGGAAGAGAGATTATATGTAAGTTTGATGACTGGAAGAGGGAGGACAGAAGGAGAAATGGAGGAAGAGAGACAAGAGGAAAGGGGGAGAGAGGAGAGAACATAAGCACGCATGTACCTGAGCAATGGTTGGAAACTAACATGCCAAAATTTAATAAAGTCCTGTTTTAGAGGGGGAAAAAATCAGTGCGCAAGTTCAAGATTAGGGAAACTTTGATTTAACAGCAGTTCAATGGGAGATAGATGTAGTTGACAGCAGGTTCTTTATGTGACTGCCAAAGTGATGAGTCCAGTCCTGGGGTGCATAACTGAATGTGAACTGCCAATAGCACAGGTAGTCGATGGTCTCCCCGTGTTCTGCAGTGACTGGATTAAATTTGGTTAACTCATTCAAATAGGGCCACTGACAAAGAAGAATATGCCCAGAGCAGGGTCCACTTTCCCATCTGCCTTGCTTTCTTGACTTTCCCAAGTGTTTATCAACTTTTCTCTGTCTTGATAGACACTGGAATCATTTTTGGAGTCTCTTACACGTTGGTGCTCAGACTCTCAAACCAGTGTGTGTTTCTCATTATCAGATTGTCATTTTCCCAGAGACATTGGAAAGCTGACGCTTGACTTGGCACAGCAAGCCCTGATGTTATCAGTCTGGTTTCTGGTTGATGATGATTCTACCAGAAGGGGAAAGAGGAAAAAGAGATCATGAACCCAATGAGGTGTTCCATGGATGCAACTTCACTTGCACCCCATGTGAAGAAGGATATTCAAATGTCTAGCACTCTAGAACAAGGCTGTCATACCCAAAGAGGATTTTAGCAGTTTTAATCAGGAGTAAGACATGACACCATGAATTTGGTATTGTTCCAATCTATAAGACTATTAAGGATAATTGCAATGATAGCATTACTTTAGTAAAAGCCCTAAAAGAAGGACATATGCCTTGCCTTAGTCATCTCTACAAAATATTTTTTTTAAAGAGAGAGGAAAAATAATTGTACTTAAGACAAACTCAAGCCCACCTGGTGAGGCTGGACTGACCCTCCTTAATCACATGCCTTGGCTGGGCACGGTGCCTCAAACCTATAATCCTAGCACTTTGGGAGACTGAGGTGAGAGGACATTCATAAACAGACCTGTGAGAATGTTTTGCCTGAGCCCAGGGGTTCAAAACCTGCTGGGTAACTTGGTGAGACCTCGTCTCTACAATAAATCAAAAAATTAGTCAGGCGTGGTAGCGTGCGCCTGTAGTTCCAGCTACTTGGAAGGCTGAGGCAGAAGGATCGCCTGAGCCCAGCAGGTCGAGGCTGCTGTGGCCATGGGCGTGCTACGGCACTCCAGCCTGGGCAAGAGAGTAAGATTCCAACTTAAAAAAAAAAAAAATTGCATGCCTTTTGAATAGGATCTCTGTGTATATCATTTATTTAACACATAAAAACAGTAACTCATAAACATTCTGTACTATGTTGACCATGAAGAAGGAAGGAAACAAGCACGCAAAAAGACTTGGCATGTTCTAGGCATAATGCCCTCACAAACATTTGTTTATTGCTTGTTTCATACATTTGTATTTATTACACAGATATTTCTTGACTTGTGATAGGGTCGTATCCTGATAAACCCATTGTAAGTTGGAAATATTGTAAGTCAAAAATGCATTGAAAACACCTAGCCTACCAAACATCATGGCTCAGCCTAGCCTACCTTGCACGTGCTTAGAACACTCACATTAACCTGCCACTGGGCAGAATCATCTGGCAACCCTGTCCACTGTGGAGTGTGGGCTGTTTAGCTTTGTGATCCTGGCGGGGACCTGGGACTCACTGCCTTTGCCCAGCAACATGAGCGAGTATCATACTGCATATCGATAACCATGGGAAAGATCAAAATTCAAAGTTCTAAGTACAGGTTCTACTGAATGTGTATCAATTTCACACCACTGTGGTTGAAAAATCATTAATGTAACCATTGTAAGTTGGGGACCATCTGTATGTGAAAAGTCAAACTTTGAGTATTACTTCTCTGGCAGTAGTTGTGTTTTGGCTAGTTCCTCATCTCAGTTGTTATGAATATACGGAGCCCAGCAAGTCCCCCTGTGTCTGCATAGGGCTTTCATCTATAAATGCTGACCCAACATTCATAAACAGAGTCGTGAGAATGTTTTGTGGTGATGCTGACCAATTATTCTTGTCAGTGAAGGTCATGATTCAAACGTTGTGTAGCACTTCACAGTTTATAAAGCACTCTATTGTACAAGCAGCATTTAGCCTGAAAATGACTCCATGCAGTCGACACATTATTATATAAACTTGGTGTCTTTTCAAAAGCAAGTGTCTGTTGCTCCTGCTCGCCCCCCCCCACCCAAGTGCTGTGCTGGGTTGCACCACCTCCTTTCTGAGTTGAAGGTGATATTCAAAGCTGTTCCTATGTTCAAATCAAAGCTGAGAAATCAGACCCTTTATAGTTGGAAATAAAATGATTTTACATACACCTTAATTTTTTATTTGCCTTAGAACATCAGAAGGAACCAGGAATTATGCCAACTCACCTGAAGCTCAACTGTTGTGTTGGTTCCATTATTCAGTGGTGCACATAAAAGGAAAATGTATAATAGCATTTTAAAAGGAAAATGTATAATGGCAACTAAAGATATGATCTCGTGGAATTTATTCTTATTTTATGTGTTTGTGTTATTTTAATAAATACTATTTTTATATTTGACTATTAATATCCCTCAACAAAGCTTATGGAAATTAAGTTGCCTTACAATTTTAGTCCTACTTATTATAAGAGCATTGTCTAGTGTTTTGGGCAAAGTGTGACTATAACAGACTGTTTTCTAATAACTTAAAATTACTTGGAGAGATATGTTATTTGGTGGTCTTAGACATTTATTTCTATCCCTCGATTTTAGTAGTGAGCCAGATGTCCTGGAAATTGCATGAAGTGAATATTTTGGCACAGTGTCCTTCTACGTTTTCAAAAGCCAGGATTACTCTTTATCAAAATCAGCCTTTAGGTTTTGTAGTTATACTAAATCTACGTATATGTTGACGTATTAATAGAGGTTGTCTGAAGTCTTGTTTTTTTGTGTACGGCAGTACAGGGAAACCCAAACATGAGTGGTTTCTCCAGAAAGATTCAGAAGGGGACACACCCTCGCTTATCAACTGGCCTTCCAGGTACCTGCCGAGCTGGCACCACTGTGTGGCTGTGCTCACTGAGTGCTTCCTCCCTGCCCCCCGCCCGCCTTGCCTTTTCACACATCAGCTAACGCTCACCCTCCCTTGCCTTCTTGTTAATGACAGCCTGTTTGAAAATCATGTGTTCCCAAAGGAACGACTGGGAGTTACTTTCTAATCATCTGCATTCCTCCTCCCTTATCCATGCTAATGGTGGTTCTCCTTCCTCCTCTTTTTTCCCTCTTTCTGATTGGTAATCCTTTTCCTATACCTGCCTACTAGCTGCTTTCTCACCCACTCACACAGTAGTAAGCACCTAGTCAGCCCCCTGGGGCTACTCTCTTCTTGGGTTAGACTAACCAGGCAGCATCCTATCTGGTCAGTTTCCTCCTCTGCCCAGCCCTTCCAGCCCCCTTTTTCATGTCTCCTCATCTCTAAACCAGTAGCTAATTTTTAGCTGTTAAATTTGGGACATGTGGTTTTAAAACCAAACAAAACCCCCTATCGTTTCATTTTTAAGATTGGGGGCAGGGAGAGGCGGGAGAAGTAAGAATGAGTAAGTCATGGGAAGGACAAAGCGCCCATCTATTGAGTTTCTAACAGTCACTTTGTTCTGGGCTGAGGACAACATTTAGATTGTCTCTGATTAGAAGCACACATTCCACAGGAGAACTTGAATCACATTTCAGTGGTCTTTTGATTAACAGAGCTTATAAATATGAAAGCCTCCAACATTGGCTAGTTTCTGGGAAAAATAACTTGAAATGCTTTCTTTTTATGTGTCTTTGATTTTTCTTTAATGAAGTATATACAGAGATACCCTGCCTCTTATGTTAATAATAATAATAAGCATTTCTATCAAATTTAGCAGGATGCATTTGGTGTCATTAAAGAAACTCTTCTTTTCCATAAAGTATATATCATGAATAATTATTTTTGCCAACTAATCTTAAATAAATAAAGGTGCCACATTTTTCTTAGAAACCACTTTTCCCACTCCCAAAACTATTTCCTTTTTGAAGGTTATTTCCCATCAGTAATCCATCCTCAAACAGTTTGAATGGTTTCTCCTTTCTCACTACATGGTATTTCAAAAAGTAAAAATAAGAACCAGTTAACACTATTCAATGTTGACTCTTTTTTTAAACACTGAGCCATATGCTTTGCAAACATCACATTTATTTCTGTTTAAAAGGGAAAGCAACTGAGACTTAGGAAGGGCAGGTAAGTTGCCCATGACCACACAGCTAGAGCTAGCTGAGGCAGGGTTTGAACCCAGGTCTCTCAGGACTCCACAGCTCAAACTCTTGTCTACTCTGCTCCACAATAATGGAAAGCAGTCTATAGCTTTTGAAATGGATTTCAGCTTTTCTCTCAGATATTTAAATAACTCTAGAAACAACTGGAGCAATCTCTTTTTAAACTAGTTTTTAACTAAGGTCATACAGCAATCTCACAAGGGGGAAAATGTTCATTAGTTCTTTCAACAGGTATATTTTCCTCTCTCATCCTTTCGGTGCTACAGTTGTTAGGAATGGCCATGTGTCTTATGAATGCTCTTGTCTGTTATCTACATTGCATGAAAAAGCTTGGGAAGATTTAGTTGAATGCTTCAAAACAGAGGTGATTTTTTTCCCTGTATTTTGAGCTCAAAAAGCATAAATAATCACGAATGCTCTTACATTTTCAGGAGACAATAAAATTACAACGTTTGGTCAATGGGTGTATATAGGCCTGGAACGTCCCCCTACAGTTTGTATTCTGGCCCTATGCGTGTGGGCAGCTCTCTGATTCAAGGCACCAGCCTCTTTGTGCCCTAATGCATGCAGGTGTTATGCATTAATGAGCTTGTCTGTGACTTCTGAGTATTTATTTGGTCAGAAAGAACCCGTTGTCCCCCAGGATAGCACTTGACCCCTCTCAGCATTACAGGAGTAGAGTTAGTTTTACCCTGCATGGTCATATGTGTGCAAATTTGGAAACTCAAGTCAAAATCATTCATCTGGCAAGTAATAGGTTCCTGACATTACAGACCAGAATGGTTTCTCACAAGTGGTCTCTCTTTGGGTTGGTTTCCTTTCACTGGTTATCTGTGATCCACGCATGCTTTCCTCCCTTAAAGTAGTTACTGCATTTTGCAAGTGAAATCCTTTTTCTTTCTTAAAGAGTTAAAGTTAGAGAAAAATTGGTGAAAGAGGAGAGTGCTCGCAACAGCCCTGAACTTGCCTCAGAGTCCGTAACTCAGAGGAGACGTCAGCCAGCCCCAGCCCATTACGTGTCCTTTCAGTCTGAACACTCCGCCTTTGATAGGGTCCCCAGCAAGGCAGCAAGCTCTGCACGACAGCCAATCCGTGGCTATGTCCAGCCAGCAGATCCTGGTCACACTGCCAAACTGGTGACCGTGGAAACCCCAGAAGATGCATCTGAGTGCAGCTGGGAGGAATCAGCCACCCAAAATGTCATAAAACCTTCTGCCTTGAAGGGCCTAGAAAGTGAGAGAACGGATACCCCAGTTCTCCATGTCTGTGACTCAAAAGCAGCAGAAGATGTGCTCTTCACTGAAGCTCCGGAGAAAAGCAGCAAGCCACTTTTTGTGTTGGAGGATGATGGGCTTGCGAAAAGCCAGGAAGAACCCTCCAGCAGTGAGGACTTGGGCAAGCCAGCTGCTAGCTCAGTCACCTTAGACCTCGAGAAGGAACTACAAGATGTGCCACACCCACCTCAATCCCAGCACCAGCCCACCGAAAGAACGGGCAGGAGTGAAGTGGTTTTGTACGTTCAGAGTGAGTCTGTGTCCCAAGAAGCCAAACTGACCAGTCACAGGAAGGAATCCTTGACGAGGAAGCACAAGGTCCGCACCCGCTCGCTGTCTGATTATACAGGCCCCCCTCAGCTCCAGGCCTTGAAGCACAAGGGCTTGGCTTCACAGCGAGAGCCAGAGCAACAGGGTTCCAAGGCTGAAGGGCCCTATGGGGATGTTGGCATGCTGGACACAAAGGTCTCTGTGGCCCAGCTCCGGAGTGCATTCCTGGAGTCTGTCAACGCCTGCAGAAGACCTGACCTGTAGGTGATGTGTCACACGTCCTCCCGATGTGTCACTTGCACGTCCTTGGCAAAATGACTCACTTCTCGACTTGTGTTGTGTCCTGCATCGAGTCATATTAGCTTAGCTCACAAGTGTGTGCAGGGCAACTGTCCAGGAAATGGCTCAGAAACTACCATTCTGCTTCTGCCTACTAATGGGGAACTGGCGTATTGTGTCGCTGGAATGTTCCACCTCCTTACATGCATGGTGGAGGCATGCAGGGGGGATTAATGGTATCTGTGCCTGCCTCACGGAGATGCATAAACCCTTGCTTTATTCTCTTTCTCTGTCTTCCTGCTTCCCGTCTGCACACTCTCTACTCTGATTCTAAAAGCCAATCGTGGGTGGAGAGGTCAGCTGAAGGAGTTGGCTTGCCCACTGGAATGGAACGGGAGCCAGGGCCCCGGAAACCAAGACGCTATTTTTCTCCTGGTGAAAGTAGAAAAACTTCTGAGAGATTTAGAACTCAGCCTATAACCTCAGCAGAACGAAAGGAATCCGATAGGTAGGCCTGTGTATATGTAGTTTTTTAGTCTAGAAATATGAAAGCAACAATACCGGATTTTGACCACACCAATGGTTTACCTAGGATGTTGGAGATACCATAATTCTTCCATCTACTTATAAGGGACACTCATTTGGCTTATTTAAATGTACTTTTAAAGAATGTCAACCTTTACAATGACATTATCATACACAATTTTAAATTGCATTCAGATGGTAAGACGTAAGAAACATTATTTTTCCTCATTGAATGTTTTTCTAATTTTTTTACATGCTCCTGTTAGTCAAGAATTCAAATTGAGTAATCACCAGATTTTACAGTGAAAACAACTAAGGAATTTTATATTCTTTTTATAAATGCCTGCCTGCTTTGAGTTTTGTATTAAATTATTATATATTGCATAGAAATGTTAGGTTTGTCTAAAAACATATCATCAGGTATGTTTAGTAAGTTGGACTTGACCCAGGTCTTTCTCCACGAGGTTTGTGCCTGACTGGGCTTGTGAGCACACACACTCCACAGCATCAGTTAACAACTTTACACATGTATTCACAACTAAAATTGCTACCAGGAGGAGATTTCTTAAGACAGTTTAATTGCATTTTATTTTTACTTTTAATATGATGTCTTATTTGAATGGTCTACTCCCACCAGCTAATTTATTATTATTATTTGCTAATGTTTTTCCCAGGTGTACTTCAAATTCAGAAATGCCAACTATTGAGGGCAAGTATCTGTTTTCCTTTTTAAAAATCTTTTTATTGTCTCTTCTAAATTAGATTTAAATAATAAGATTTGTGACTTTAGGGGAGAATTAAATAATAGAGCATATCAGCTTCCTCCTTTTCTGTAGATTATCTCTCTGTGAATATAATAAAACCCCAAATTTTTAGATGAGCCTTTCCTTATTTTTGAGAGGAATCAGAGAACTGTGGAGTGAACGATATAAAAACAACCGATTCAAACCAAAGATGCAGGCTTTTCTTATTTGCAGCTGATATTTAAAAATAAGATATTTCCTCTATAAATCTATTCTTAAATCTCAATTAGACAAATATTGCAGTAGAAACCACTATCTGGAGAGTTTGGTTGGTTTGAACTGCAGTGAAAATCAGTACCCTTTCACTAAGCAGAAAGAATGGGCCCCCCACAAGGGGAAGCTATTACCAATTATTATTTTAGTATACCTTCTCTTGTATTCAAAGGATTTCCAGGTCAGCCTTAAGAAAACTTTTCAGAGACTTGGCTTACATTTTCCAATGACATTCAGTTTTTTATTTTGTGACTTTTTGCAGATGAAGGAAAAGTGGATGAACGAGCCAAGCTGAGTGTTGCTGCCAAGAGGTTGCTTTTCAGGGTAAGGTGTACTGACATGCTCGATTAGAAATCCTAACCCCTGGCTAGGTGTGGCTATGCAATCCCAGTGTTTTGGGGAGACTGAGGCAAGAGGATTACTTGAGGCCAGGAGTTGGTGGTAACAGTGAGCTGGAATTGTGCCATTACACTCTCCAGCCTGGGGGACAAAGTGTGACTCTGAAGAAAGAGAGAGAGAGAGAAAGAAAAAGAAATTGTAACCCCCAAGAAGAAAGACTCCCACAGACCCAGTCTGCTCCCTGCACCTCTGACACTTTAAGGCCCTCCTGGACCAGGCCCACCTGCCATTCTTTCCTAGTCTTTGACCGTGGCCACCCTGTGGACACAGCATGAATGTATGCTTCTGACAATGATGCATGACTTTCATCCAAATCCACCTGCAAGTCCTGTGAGAGAACAGCGTAGAGGCGTTTTGCTGTCCCATTTTCTTTCCTCGTTTTATAAGGATTCCCAATGTTTCTAATCTTAGGAAATGGAAAAGTCATTTGATGAACAAAATGTCCCAAAGCGACGTTCAAGAAACGCAGCTGTGGAGCAAAGGCTGCGTCGTCTGCAGGACAGGTCTCTCACTCAGCCCATCACCACTGAGGAGGTGGTCATTGCAGCCACGTAAGTCCCCATTGCATTTTCTTGGCCTTGGTTGTAACATCTTTTATTTTAAAAAAATAAATAAATAAGCCCCCTACATACAAACCTTCAAGTTACAGACTTTTAACAATCACACCTACAGTTTTTTTAATATATTATTTCTCCCCACCAGGTGTCAGTGTAGCCTGTTAAATACATACAGTACTATTATAGCTAATTTGTTAATTGGGTACCTAGGCTAATTTTGTTGGATTTAAAACAATTTGGACTTATAAATACACTCTCGAAATGGAATTCGTTTGTATGTTGGGGGCTTCCTGTTCATTTAAAGAGTTTGAAATAAAAATGAGGCAATAGGGAGATGGTTTAGCTAGAAGACACAAAAAAGGTGTTTTGGGATTTTGTTTTACTACTGTCTCTTTAAACTCTGTCATGGGATGTATTACCTATTGTAGCTCCTAGAAAAACAGAGGAATTTTGCCTAGTTTGTTTTTGTTTGTACACCTTTTTTAAAAAGTCTCTTTTACAATGGAATTTATAAAACATGAATGTGGATGGATTAGTTTAATGAGCCCCAGCTTTCACTGCTGGCCGGGCTTGTGCTACCTTAATTCCCATCCACTAACCCTTCCTCCCGCATTGCTTTCAGGCAAACCCCAGACGTTTTATCATTTCATCCATAAATATTTCAGTATGTATCTCTAAACTATAAGGGTTTGTTTTGTTTTTAAATAATCATCAACAATTTTTAAATTGATTAACTGTTTGATAATCTCCCAAACTACTTCAGTTTTGAGCAATATGTTCTAACGTATTCAGTTATTTTCAAAAGTAATTTATTCAGAGATAATTGTTTCAATCGGGTGAACATTTTTATTCTTTTTTGTTGTTGTTGTTGTTGTTGCTGTTTTTGTTGTTTTTGTTTTTGTTTAGTTGAGGACTCACTCTGTCTCCCAGACTGGAATACAGTGGCACAATTGTGGCTCACCATTGCCTTGACCTCTTGGGCTCAAGTGACCCTCTGCCTCAGCCTCCTGAGTAGCTGGAACTACAGGCACATGCCACCATGCTTGGCTAATTTTTTTAAAAATTCTTTTGTAGAGACAAGACCTTGCTATGTTGCCCAGGCTAGTCTCAAACTCCGGGCTCAAGCAGTCTTCCTGTCTTGAGCTCTCACAGTATATATCTTACAGGTGTGAGCCACCATGCCCAGACTTTGTTCGTTTTTTTAAAGATTGTTTTTGTACTTCCCCTGGATGCACACACACCTTCCTAAAAAAAGAAAAAAGGAAAAAAAAAGAAAATGAAGCTCATTTCATTCAGGGCATTCACATCCCAAGAGGCCTCTGTGTCAGAGCCCACCCTATGGCCCTGCTATAGTCAGTAGCCTGCACCTCTAGCCCCAGCTGATTCAGGTGCATTTGCTGATAAGTACAGCAACAGTCTTGCTCTCATGAGGAACTCTTAGCAAATCTATTTGTGTTTTTTAAATATATATGTGTATATATATATATTTATGTTTATATATATACATATATATACACATATATATATGTTTGACTAGTTAGTGTAAAATAAGGAGCAGCCAGTCATGGGAGCAAAACAATAAATATAGGGAAAAATTATCTCCTTTCAAAGCTCAGTGAAACATCTTTGATGTGTTTATAAATTATATGAAGACACTGAGTCTTTAAAATTAGATTGAGAACAACATTCTGAAACACGAGCATACTCTAGTGATTTGCGGATGGCTAATATTAACTTTTTTGAATTATTTTTTTAAACTAAGACATGTATTCTAAAGTTAGAGCACATCCTTTCCAAGCTTGGAAGTACCTATTCTTACTCTATCTGCTTTGGGTTGCCTCTGTCTCTTACTTTCTGTGTTTGTAATTGCTTTTCAGGTTCCTAGGTGACCTTTTTCCTTCCAAAGTATTTAGCAAATAATTTTGTCAAAATGTTTACTTTAACGTTTCTGAATGGAAAACGATGCTATCCTTAATGCTGCTTTTCTTCTCTCTCCTCATGAATGTTCCTTCTTTGGCAATTGCTTTTAAAGTGAACCTATCCCTGCTTCGTGTTCTGGGGTCCCCCACCCCGTAATGGCGAGACTTCCCAGTCCCACTGTAGCTAGGAGCACTGTGCAGCCTGCCAGGTACTGGACAGAAGGAGCTGCATGTGGCGCCTGGTGCTGAGGTGCCGGATGGCAGACGCATCTCAGAGTCTTGAATGTCTTTCCTTTGTTTGACAAACAAGTCAGTGCAGTGAGTTCCGGGAATGTGTGGCATTTTGTTTTGTCATAGTGCAAGGTACTGATAACTTCATGTAGGCCTGCATGGGCAAACATCTCGTCTCTCCGCTTACATTGTGTGTTGGAACTAGGATCACGCTAACTCACTGATCCATTTGTTTTGTTTCTGTTTTTCATGACATTAATCATCCCTAAACAATTTCATTCTTCACCTAAACCACTAGCACTTCATAAAGGTTAATAGAAAAATGGGGTATTAATGGGAATGTTAAAATACTGATAAGACCCAGTTTTTTTTTTAAACACATGTGGACATAAATACATGTTTAAAACAATCTTCCCTGTTTCTAGATCATAGAGAGACAATGCCATTATATTTGGGAACTGGGGAAGTAACAATTTACGGCATCTGGATATCAATGTCTTGCTATTTTGTTTTAAATTGTGGTGTTATAAAATTTTGTCCTTAAGTGGTGGAAAGATCCCCTTTATTTTACTGTTGTGGGCCCAAACACAAAGACTTAAAAATAATGCGAATGCGGGGTTAGAGCTACCCTACCCCCAACCCCCCAACCAGGATGTGGGTTCCCTAGGTGAGCAGGCTGCACCAGACCCAAGCAGGGCTCTGCTCAGGTTGCCTGCATCACCAGCCTCATTGTCCACCAGGACACAGGCCACTCCTTGGTCAGGAATAGCCTGTGAATTGGTACTTAATTGGAGCCAAGGCAGAATGTACTTATCTGAGATTAGATTTGCTAGTGGCAGAATTTGCAGTGACCATGTGGACTAGAAGCCCTCCTTTTCTTCCACCTGGAAGTTAGAGGGACTTACGGTCACCTGAAATTGTCTACACTTTTCTAACTACTGGAATTACAGATTTAAGTATATTTTAGAAAACTGGTAGAAACCTATGAGAGAAAATGCTGCACCAAATCAGTGAAAGATTCTTTAAAATTAGGCCATTTGTGTTTAGCAAGTGAAAAGTCAGATCCCTGAATTGGAGATTATATTGCTGACAGATGACTACATTATTTTCTAATTATTTCAAATGAAAAGACCACCCTCTCAACTGCATCTTTACATAATGTCTAAATATGCCATAGGCAATGCCTTGCAAGTTCCTTACTCATTATAATACTCCTTATTCATTATAATACTAAAACTGTGAATTCTTTCTCTAGGATAAGGTATAGCAAGGCTGACTTCAATTTCTTAAATAGGAAACTGATTTTTAAGAAATAATTCAGAGATAAAAATCTGCATTTTATGGAATTGAGAATGCTACTGTCTAATGCCTGCTCCACTAGTCACTGTTTTGTTTAATAGCTAAACAACCACCTGCCCCTGCCCTAAATTTATGTTGGGAAAAATTAACCCTTTGCAAAATTAAATGACACTTTAAAGAAAGCTAACATAGACAATTAGCAGTGGGCTTTTACTTGTTTTTATCCATGTTACTGACTCTGTATTCCTTTCAGACTGCAGGCTCACCAAAAGGCTTTCGCCAGGGACCAGGCAAGCGAGGGCACAGATTCTGCTGAACCCGCAGAACCTGATTCCTCCACTCTGAGCTTAGCTGAGAAGTTGGCCCTGTTTAACAAATTGTCCCAGCCAGTCTCGAAAGCTATTTCTACCCGGAACCGAATAGACATTCGGCAGAGGAGAATGAATGCTCGCTATCAGACCCAACCGGTCACACTGGGAGAGGTGGAACAGGTGGGTGTGCTGTCAGCTAATCCAGTCTGTGTGTGTGTGTGTTCTTAAAATATAGAAGCAGTATCATCATAGGTGAATGGTGTGATTAGGGCAATCTGCCGGTAAACTGTGTCAACTACAGGCGACTTGGTCAAAACTCCATTCCTAAGAAAGATAACCATGTGTGTTTCTTTTTTCTTGTTTTCATCATTTGCTTGCTATGAAATCATGTGGAGAGAGTCCAGATGAAAGTGGAGAGAAAAAAAACAGTATGCACAACCTGCCTTTCACCCAGGGGACTTTATTTAATGAGCTGTCTTATGTAACTATGTCCAGGAGTGGTTTTTCACTAAGATAAGCAGTAGAACTGCATCAAATACAGTATTCCAGTCTATGTGAACTCATAAACCAGGATTTATGCAGTCACTTTTTTAATCAACTTTTTACTTTTTAACTGTATCCTCCCAGGTACAAAGTGGAAAGCTGATTCCTTTCTCACCTACGGTCAACACGTCTGTATCCACCATGGCCTCTACAGTTACTCCGATGTATGCTGGGGATCTTCGAACAAAGCCCCCTCTTGATGACAATACAAGTGCCACTGACTATAAGTTTTCTTCTTCGATGGAAAATTCAGATTCTCCAGTGAAAAGCATTCTGAAATCACAAGCTTGGCAGCCTTCGGGAGAAAGTGGTGGGAACAAAGGAGTGTTGAGAGAATTTGGAGAGACAGAAAGCAAGAGAGCTTTGACAGGCGGAGACAGCAGTGCTAAGAAGTATGGGTCCTTTGAAGAAGCAGAGCCTTCTTACCCCATCCTTAACAGAGTCAGGGAAGGAGACAGCCAGAAGGAACCTAAATATGCTATTCTGAGAAAAGGAAGCCTGGAACTAGCTAATCCTTCCCTCGCCCATCTTGATGATGAACTGAAGGAATTTTCCACTCCTAAAACTAATGCACAAGGAAACTCGGACTTGAAGGACAGGCAGCCCTTTGAAGAGAAGGGGGACGTGGAGAATGTCATGAAAAGAAAGTTTTCACTAAAAGGTAAGTTACGATTGCTTCCTGAAGTTTTAGAAAGCAGTTGGGTTTCTAGTTTCTGCTTGATTTGCCATATGTTTCTGTGATCGCTTTCAACTAAATGATGAAGGCAGTTTACAACTAGAATTAGTTAAAAGTTCAGTGTGAATCATACTTTCTCTCAGACTTCAGAATGTCAGATTCAGGCTGTGGGGGGAAGGCTTCCTTGATTCATCAAGTTTACAGCAGTAAAAAAAACCTGACGCCCTTTGACACATCGCGATAAGGGGTTCAGATGACTTTTTCACGTTAACTCACACAACAGCCTCCAGAGCTGCTTAACTCTGCCGTCGCCTTTTATACATTGATGACCCAAAGTTCCAGGGCTGAGTAAGACCAGAGGATAAAGACTCAAACCCAGTCTCTGGATTTCCAGACTCTTTCTACACTCCAGTTTTGCAGACTAGCATATTCTGCTGCATAAGACTTTCATCCTCTTTAAACATTTGCATAAAACGATACCATATAAGCTGTCATAAGAGTTTTGTTTTATGAGCACAGTGCATTTGAAATGTGTAAGTATTGTCTGGGAGAAGTAGAAACATCCTGCAGTGAATAGGTCACACTAGCTGCCTGTGTCTTGCACAAGAGAGAGACCAACTGTCACTGTTTGGCTGTGTGGGGTCATCCACTGGAAAGTTTGGTTTTCTGAGAGTATAACATGCTACACATTTGCATAAACCCCAGTGGATTGGGTAGCTCGAGCGCCCAGGGATCAAACTCCAAGGGCTGCACTGCTGAGGGAAGTGGAGTAGCTGGAAGAACGCGTGCTGGAGGAGTAAGTGCTAATGTTGCTCCCTTCCTTCCCAGCGGCTGAGTTCGGGGAGCTGACTTCTGAGCAGACAGGTACAGCTGCTGGGAAGACTGTTGCTCAGACCGCAGCCCCCGTGCCCTGGAGGCAGCAAGATTCTTCAGAGCAGCCCCAGGAGAAGCACTATAAGAGTCCATGCGCCATGTTTGCTGCAGGAGAGATCAAAGCACCAGCAGGGGAGGGCATCCTTGATTCACCCAGCAAAACTATGTCAATTAAAGAAAGGTAACGAGAGTCTCTGACCCAGAGTAATCCTACTGGGGAGGAAGTTACAACTTGCTTTTAGAGAAAGATCTCGGTGATGAGCCAAGAGATGAAATCACAAGCTCAACTACCTAGGAGATGTGCTGTTGGCCTAGAATCATCCTAGTGGCTGAGAGGGAACTGCATTGCCCCCATGCCGGCTTTGCTGAAAGCGCCAGTTCCAGACTCAGATGAGGAGACAAGTAGATGCAGACTTCTGCTTACTTCACCTGTTTGCCTCTACTGTTCTGATTTCTTTTTCGTATTGAATTATTTGACTACCTAGTGATGGGAGTGATGGGAGCTGAGATCTCGACCCCTTCCCTTCAAATGTGCATGGTTCTAACAGAAGGCACACACCACTTGTGGCTTTATAAATATACGTTGAGGAGGCAAAGATGGATTTGGATATAGGGTATGCCTCTTTACGAACAGAATCCAAGTTCTGTATACTTTACAGGAAGCAAAATGGGATGTTTCCTAAACGGCATTTAGAAATTTTATATTAGGTCATAGATATGAAAGATAACAGATGAGTATCAAGTAACACTTGTAACCTCATTTCATTCAAAAGAATGATGTAGAATTGAGAGACTATGTTTAAGTGGGACAATACAGAAATCGGAACTAAATTATTTTCAGAATGTGTTTTCCTTGTTAACCTTTAACCGCAGTTGAATTAAGCAGTAAAAGATACAATCGTGGGAATAAACTCAATGTTTGATAGCAAAATCAGGTGACTATACTCAACAAAAATGTATTATACTTGGGTGATAGACATGCTAAATGACCCGACTAGATCACTATGCATTAAGCACATGTAACAAAATTTCTCATGCACCCCCTAAGTTTGTACAAGAAAAGAGAAAATCTTCAGTAGGAAAAAAAAAAACCATACGATAGTAATAGGAAGACTGGCTGAAGAAATGTCACATCAACTCCCCAAGATAATTAGAAGCCACCCCTTAGCACTGTCTCAAGGAGGTTTCTGGCCCAGTCTGCTCACAATCATGGCAGTAAGGAGTGCTTGTCAGTATTCAGCTCTTCTGCTAATTTGTTAAAATAAAAGTTTTAGAAAGCACAAGGGCCACTTTATTTAGCAACTATGTGTGTAATGAATTAGGCTAATACAAGATAGTTGCAAGTGGTCTTTCCCCTTACCTTGACCTTACTTTAATATGTACTTTGCTGAAAATAACTAAGCTACATATTTTTATAACCCATCTGTAGTAGCTTTTCCCCTGTGTGTTAAAATGAAATAATGATGGTTGGCCTATTTAAAATAAGAATGTTATTCATATATTTATTTGGGCTTTTCTTTCTTGAGGTGACATATAAAATCATAGGACTTTCAAACTTTATTCTAACTATCTCTGACTGCCTCATTTTACCAAAGGAGGGGGTTTTCGCTCCAGTAGCCTCTAGAGCCATGCAGTAAATAGAAACCCCAGGAACGTGTCTCCGCTTCTCCCCTGGTCCCTGTGGCAAGACTGCAGTGTGTTCAGATCAGTGTCATAGCAGCCAGACAAGTTTTTTCTCATCTGGAGACTATGGTAGAACAGAAGTTCCAGCAAGATAGCAGGTAAAGATCCATCCTCCTTCTTTAAGGATTTTCTCAATTCATATGTTCTTCATGTGACTTGTTTCAAATTACAGTTACACTTTCAAATTTCAGCTTCTAAGGACTAGAGCCTGGAATTTACAGATTTTCTTCATCATTTTTTCTAAGCAGCTGCGCTCTAGGGAGTGCAGTTCTAGCTTCCTAAACCCTGTGGTGTCCTTCCCTCTCCTGTCAGGACTTGGCTATACCAAGTTGTCCATACTGGGTGTCGCATGTGGCCTTGGCATTTCCCGCATGGGAGTTCAGTTAGTGCTGAAGGCAGCTCTCAGATAGAGGCAAATTTCCCCCCCATTTTTGTGGACAAAAAGTGTGGAAACTAAAATTATAGGAAATCTTCCACATATTCTGTTTTTAGAATAGGTTTGATGCTCAAGAAAACATATCCAAAAGTCCTTTTGCCTTTTTAAAAATTTTTTTCTGGCATCTAGAATGTCAAATTTGAACCATAACCAGCATAAAACTTAGAATGCACTCAGTTTTTTCCACTGGATTGATTTAATCACTGTTTCATAACTGTCTAAATTATTTAAGTTTAAATTGGCCCTGTTTGGGGACTTCTTGAGAAGCTTTGTGGGTCAAATAACTCTTATTTTATTTAGGGATAAAACCTCTTAAAATGATGCCTTTAGAAATATTACTTTCACAATTGCTGAAGCAGCAGCATCTGAACATTTATATTTGGGGGAGAAGAATTTTGGAAAAGGGAAAAAAAACCATCCTTTCACTTTGGGGAGTTGGTGGGGTGTAAAGACTTAGTGGGACTCCCTGAACGGTGAAGAACCACTTCGTGCCTCTCTCTAGCCTCTGGACTGGCAGGGGACACCTGGGCTCTCTGTGTGCCCCCCTCCATCCACCCTTCTGCACTACACCCAGCCAGAGTCTATGTATAGCCATGTCTTCCCAACAAACTCCAGGTTCTCACCTCGTAGCTGGGAGATCTCAGCCACTAGAGGGCCCCCAGATTTATGTAAGAATAGGAACAGAGCTGTCCTTCCCCTTTGCTCTCTCCTCTTCTGATATTAGATATGTTCCCCATTTAAAAGACATGTTAGTTCACTCCTCTAACCTGCAAGCTAGCCAAGGCCAAGGTCTGATGTGAGTACTCATCAGTGCTATTCAGTTCTATCTGAAATCTGTGAGAGGCCTGTGATTCTCTAAAGTTTCCAAAGAAAGACAAAAGAAAAATCTTATTTAAGGGGGCCTATCCAGTATTGGACCAGCCATGTCTGCTATGAGCCTTAAGCCCTTGTTCTCACCAAGCAGGGCCCTCAGGCCAGAATTCCCTGCTGGAATAATGTGGGCTGTGATAAGAGGAGGAGTCGTTTCCCCATGCAGCCTGGCGAGCACATGTCACAGTGGCCACAGGCCAAGCCCTGGGTGACTGGGCGGATACAGTGCCATACCCTGGGAACCCTGACTGTCAACCCCAGACCTAGCAGATGCCTAGGCTCCCAGTATCGCAGCCCTGCAAATAGCACTTGGACTTGGCAGATGCTAAAAGCGCTGACAGTTGTTTGAATTGCACGAACAGGAATTTATGTTCTATGTGGGCCCAGACGTTTAGCCTCGGCCTTCTTAGAGCATGGCGGTCAGTCGGCAGCGAGTTGGGGCCATGAGATTGCAGGAGGAGAGAACACATTTGGCGAGGTCTCCCACCCTCTTCAGCTTGTTGAACCTCAAGTAGGAAATCTGAGGGGACAGGAATAATACGTTGACATGTTGGTGCATGTTATTTGACAGCTATTCATCATCTGTACTCTAGGCTAGGGCCAGGTTCAAGTACCATACAGGCTCCATTGGAGTGCCGTTTCTTCCATATTATTTTGGTTATTCTGTAGACTTTGGAAGTCCCTAATGATAACCCTGCAAGCACATCTAGAAGCAAAATTTCAGGGTTGCCAGGCCCAGTGGCTCAAGCCTGTAATCCCAGCACTTTGGGAGGCCAAGGCGAAAGGATTGCCTGTGCCCAGGGTTTGAGACCAGCCTGGGTAACTTGGTGAGACCTCATCTCTACCATATATCAAAAAATTAGCTGGGCATAGTAACGCATGCCTGTAGTTTCGGCTATTTGGAAGACTGAGGCAGATGGATCGCCTGAGCCCAGCAGGTCGATGTTGGGGCAGCCGTGAGCAAGCCACTGCACTCCAGCCAGGGTGACAGAGTGAGACTCTGACTCAAAAAAATAAAATAAAAATTTCAGGGTTTTAGAATAGAGGAATTATTTGAAGGCCATCCCGTGATAGGAAGAGCACACTATAGGAAAGCTATAACCCTGTGCTATTTCTGAAGAAAGAAGGCAAAAATGTGTCTAGTTAGCAAATGGACTGGTACAATGACACCAGCCACACACCAGGAGGAGAGGTTTGCCGTCACACCTCTCTGCCCCAACAACGTGTGGTGTAATCTCGGTCAATGGAATCCTTGACTTGTGTGCTCCTGTTCTTCTTTGTCCAAGTGGGAATGGCAGTATCCCATGTCTTAGAGGTTGCTGTGTAGATCTGCAGCATGTAACATGATTCCAGATTCCACAATTTCTTATAAGTCAGTTTTAGATTCCTCAGAACAGCCATCAGGAAAATGATATGGTTATTGAGGTGATGTTGCTGTTGCTCCAGACATTTGGGAGCTTCTTTTCAAGAAGCTCATTATTTTTAATAAGCTCAACTCATGAGGGTAAATTTGATTTTTTTTTAAAAATTACCTTTAATCATTTGGAGTCCAATCTGATTAACAAGGTATATGGTCAAGATAAATAACTACTTGTCTGGGCCAAAGGTGAAGTAAGAGACAACCTGATCCTGAAACCTGTTTGCAAGGAGAATATCAATGAGATGAATGCCTTTCTTCATCAGAGGATGAATTGGAAGTACTTCTTCATTTAGATATTAAAGTATTGACATGCTCACTTTTTGAAAGCCTCATTTAATGACACTTTGAAAACTTTGAAAGCTCTAATGCATCATGTAACCACCAGTTATTTCTTTTAATGATTTGATTTTGTGAGATTCTTTTATCAGAATAAAGCTGACTCGTTTCCAACTGAAGAAGAGATAAATCTTAGCTGTTACATCATATAAAATGCTGCAGATGAAAACATTTGAAGGAACTTAGATTGTGTGTTCAAGTACATGGACTAGTCTTTGTAGCATGCAGAGTGGTTATTAAACATCATAGAATTTAGGACTAAATGGGACCTTGAGCCAAATGGGATCTGCCTTAAATATCTAAGGCAGTATTATGTCAGTCTTATAGAACGGGCACTTGAGATCTTACCTGCTGCCACAAAGCAGAAAGAAAGAGAACAGGAAGGAAGGGGATGGGGGCAGGTTCAGAGTGCGAAGTCCTGCCTCCTTTGGGGAGCTCTTTTCTTTGTGGCTTACTTTCCATACTTTGAATGAATGAATAGACAAGCCTAAGGTATGATTATGTACACATTTGTAGATATAAATGGATTCCTGTTTAAGTATTACTGAATTTGTTTTCTTATTTGCTTAAGAAAACGTTCATCATGGAGTACATTTCATTCCATCTCCAAGTCAAATATTTAATGGCATCAGGAAACTTAGAAGAGGGCCCCTGAGAGATCATCCAGTCCACTTCCTGACAGGACCAGTAAGGATGGGAAAACCCAGAATAAAATTAGTGGCCAAATGGGAACCAGAGCTGATGTACTGCTTACAGATCCACTGTTTGTGGATGATGTGTTAGTGATGCTGAAGAGACCTAGTGCACCAGACTCCATACAGAGGGAAAAGGGTAGAATCATTTCCCCCTAATCTTTACATTGTACATCAACTCAGATGAGTTTAATGACTGCTACTTTTTTTGGCCTTTTATCTTGCTCATGTTTGTTTGTCCAACTTGAATGCCTAAGGCTTCTTCATGCATCATAATTTATAATATGTAAAAAGGTTGGAACAGCCTCATGTTTGTGAAAAGTAACCTTTCATAGGTGATACTATCCAAGCTTTATATCAGGTCACACCGTAGTTGAACTAAAGTAGGTTAAGTAACAGTCTCAACTAATTAGATTCTTTTTTTGTATATGTCTTTCTCTTGAGGAAAGTTGATGTAGTAATTTTTTGAATTGGGTTCATGTAAAATAGTTTCTGTTTTAAGAAGATAGATTGGAAAGTCAAGTTCATTTGTAGGAAAAGAACAGGGCATAGAATACAGGAAGAGAAACAATCATAAACATAAATTTATACCTTTAATTGAAAGGCATGATATTAACAGATTATAAGTGCTTTGTAGCTTTATGTTTTTAAACCCATTTCTGCAATATTTTCTGCAAATAAGAACTGATACACAGCTTTAGTCCTTTACTGTTATTGCAACAAGTGACCAGAAGGGGACAATAGAGGACATTTTTCTCAGGAGGTGGTTCATCTCTTCCTTGCTCTCAGCCCAAAGGCAAAGAAAAAGCAGTTATTCCTTTGCTGGAATGATAGTGCACCTTTATTTGGCAGATAAAAGGTTATCACATTTCAGCTTTGTGTTTCAATCAACTGTAAAGAGTTTGGGGCCGTGTTAGAGGGACTCCATTATTTTTCCAGTTACACTGTCTTCAGAATAAATGAAATTCCAAAAGTTAAAATGAGGTTGCTGTGGTCATTTATTGGCCAAAGACTTCCTGCTTAACTAAATTACGTTTCTGATACAAGTAGGAATTGGTGCTTAACTCTTTTTGGTTGGCATGTTTTCCTGTCAGATTGGCACTGTTGAAGAAAAGCGGGGAGGAAGATTGGAGAAACAGACTCAACAGAAAGCAGGAGTGTGGCAAGGGGCCCACAGCAAGCAGCCTGCACATTCACGAAGTGGGACAGTCACTCACCAGGAAGGTAACGTTCTCCATGTTAGGAAAAAGCACCAGAACTAACTTCATGCTTGGAATTGCGTCTAAGAGACTAGCATGTGTGACTGAACTAATTCCTACTCTGTGAAGCATTCGCGCGTTCATGCCTTTAGGGTACACACTGAGTCTGTCATGCAGTGACTGAAATGGGCCAGAAGGTCAAGTCGTGAGTTGTTCTAGAACTGGACCAGCAACGCCCGCATACCACATCAGCAAGCAAGTGCCCCAGTTTTAAAGTGTGCACTTTTCCCTTGTTTAAAAATCTTCTTAAATGAACGCTGGCTTTAGAATGTCATTAAAGCCTTTATATTGAAAATATTTAATTTACCACTAGTAGTTGTGAGTTGTGTATAAAATAGGGACTTGAATTTCTTATGCAGAGATTTAAAACCTCAGTATAAAAAAATAAGGATATAAATGTGGTCCATGAGTACATAGTTTATAATTTTAAGCATGTTTCACGATGATGCCTTTTATTGAGAATATGCAGCAATTTATGTCACAAGTTTAAACAAGGTAACTCATGGTGGTCAATACTAGCAAGCATTTTACAGGCAAGAGTCTTGCTGTGTTGCTGAATTACAGGTGTCATGATGACCAGCTTCTGACCAGGTGCACACTTTCAAAACTGATGGTGGCTTACCTGTTGGCTGGCCCTGCAATTATAAATGCGCACTCTGGCTGGAGGCAAAGTAACACACTGGTGACAACACTCCCTGGCCAATGTCTAGGATTAATAGTCTTCAAATTGAAAAGAAAAAAAAATGCTTCTAACTAGGTGACACCTGGAGTCCTTCTAGTTCTAAAATAATTTAAACATCTAGAAAAGCAAGAAATCATGAGTGTGCCCTCTAGGCATTAAGAAGCTTACCAAAAAATGGGATATTTGTAGAACTGTGTGTCAGGACCACCAACATTTCTCTGTGCTACTTCTGTGTCTTCATACCTCACATTGGGAAGGCAATTTAAATTATCTTCTTTGAGATAAGGAAGATAATTTAGTCACAAAAAAAAAAACTAACGACTTTTGGTCCTCAGCCATTTGTAAAGTTCTCACATGTAGCGAGATATTAAAAAGTATTCCGATGTGCATACTTTTTTACACACCATGTGAAATTGAGATTTCAAGATTGAGATCCTGAAGCAAAAGAAAACTGGGTTCCTCAAATCATGTGTCCCCACTGGCCACAAGTTTTAAGAGAATCTTGAAATCACTGGTTCACAAATAACGTAAACATAGACCTGTAACTGATGTGTCATGGCACTGTGCAGTGCCCCATATCTTGTTAGTCATTTGTGAAAACTCAAAGACTGCCCAGCCTCGAGGAGCTGGTGGTCCCATAGAACGAGTGGAAATCACAATGCAGCTAAAAAGCCCAAAGCAAGACAGAGTCCTTGTGAACAGGGAAACAGGTACACTACCCAGTGAGAAGAAGGCGGCATCGTCTTAAGCAGTGGAAACCAGAAGTCTTTGAGCAGAGCTTGAGGCCTGACCTGCCCAACACATGGCTGAGGTCTTCAGAAGACAAGAGAGGCCAGCTTACTGCAGTTGCCTGAAGCACAGGGGTTCTCGGCGTGATTTGGGCTGGGGTGTGAAATGCTGTGTCTGGTCACATGGACGCTGCTGCTTCTGCAGCAATAGTGAACTCACTATTCCTACTCCTCCTCAGTGGCCTAGTTCACTCTGGTCTGAGACAATAAGCTCTTTGAAGTTAAAATAAGCCGATCTATTTTAGGCCTTTGTAGCAGACATTGGGGAATCTCAAGTTCTGTTGAGGTCAGATGGCTTTTCAGATGGCCTCTGACAACCCCTTGCTTCATTCCTTCCTGAGGGCCTGCAGTGCATTTCAGTCACCCTCTCGCACTTCTTTAATGTGGTACGTGAGGGCCCTTAAACCTGGCTGTCTTGAGGCAGCCCACAAGCAGCTGAGGAGTACCTGACAGGTCCACTGCTTGCTGGGAGTCTGAATGCTGGCTTGGAGAGGGAGAGATGTTCTTGACATGGGTTGCATGCAGATGGGCCCTTACTGCATGGGGGAGGTCTAGGCTTGCTGATGGAGAGGTGTCCAGGAGAGCAGGTGCCAGAACCTTCCATCTTCACTAGCAAGGGTAGAAAGAAACTGGTGTTAGGGTCAGTTCCTCACTTCCTTCATAGTTCCTGAGTTGCTTTTGCATGTGGTAAGCCTAGAAGTGCAGGAAATGTAGAAGTGTAGGAAATAGAGGGACTCTGGAAGTTGTCTCCATTGCTCCTGTGCAAATGCATGCACCACAGAAGTCAGCAGCATCTAGTAAAAGTATAATGTGAGCCTCTTAAGTCATTTTTAAATTTTCCAGTACTCACATTAAGAAAACATTAAAGGATGTCTTGAAAATCTATCACTGTTTTGTTTCTGTCGAGATTTTGGTCCCCAAAAAAAACAAATTGGAGGTGCTCTCACCAGCATCTTATTTTGGGAACCCTATAGTAAGGATTTGGGGGACCCATTAATAGATTTGAGGGGGACAACCCCTTCGGGCCCCCTCCCACTGTGGGAGCTTTTCTGTCCTCTCAATAAATCCTGCTTTCTCAGCAAAAAAGATTTGAGGGAACTAAGCTAGAGTTTTCATTTCTGTTCTAAAAGATCAGGCATGTCTCAGGGAATGGGAAGCTTAGCAGCAGTTCCTGGCTTTCCAGCTTCAGTCCCTAAAATATGAGAATTGGTGATTTGGAGCTTAAGAGCACTAGTGATTTACCAAGCTGGCTCTGTCCTACCCTCTGAAAAGTCTTTTAGGTACTTTCTCTCCTCCTGCTCCCTCTCCCCTGCTGTGCTTCTCATCTTTCTCCTGTTCTTGGTTAGCTAGGTCAGGCTCACCTGACTTAAAAACAGTTTTGCTCCTTGTCACATATTTCATGATCTCTAAAGATGGAAAAGCCACTGGTGTGTAGATTCAGCCTGGTCTGCACTGTGTGGAATGTGTGCACTTGAGCATGATTTGTGTACAGTTTCCCCCAGAGCAGCTCATTCCACCGAGAGAGAGAGATGAAGCAAAGCAAAGTCTCAAAGAAGTGATTTGGCGGAGTCTCTTTGTTACAACTAAACTGTAGTTATGTATTTGTTTTCACCAAATAATTACTATATTTTTATTTTTTTTGAGTTGGAGCCTCACTCTGTCATCCAGACTGGGGTGCAGTGGCATGCTCACGGCCATCGCAGCCTTCGCAGCCTTGACCTGCTGGGCTCAGATGATACTTCTGCCTCAGCCTTCCAAGTAGCTGGAACCACAGGCATGTGCCACCACCATGTCTGGCTAATTTTTTGATTTATTGCAGAGACTAGGTCTCACCATGTTGCCCAGGCTGGTCTCAAACCTGAGCTCAGGCAATCCTCTTGCCTCTGCCTCCCAAAGTGCTGGGATTATAGGTGTGAGCCACCGCACCTGGCTGCCAAATCATTATTTTAAATTTCAACTCCATTTCGGCCTGTTCAGTGTTAGGCATACACAGTGATTCCCATGCCTTTTGTGAAGGTAATCATCCAGTGTACCAGACTTTTTCCAGGAAATAAAAGCCCTTTATAGACTTGGCCATAAAATGCTGCTCTGTTTCCGAGTTCCCGAGGAGGACTGGCTCTCCTACTGTGAGTAGGTCTGGGGTCAGTAAATCCAGCTAATGAGATCTGTACTGTTCCCAGAACAAGTGCCTGAAAATGCAGGGAAGGTAAATCTGCCACATTCATCTTCTAATTGTCTGCTGTCACTGAAATTCCAAATCACAATTCCAGAGGATGCCGCCATTTTGGAGAGCAAGCTTGGGAGGGAGAGAAAGGCTGATGGCATGCCCTCTAAATGAAAGATGACTACCCAGGGAGGAGCTTACCTGATGTGTGTGCTGCCCCATCACATGAGCATGTGCATGAACCCAGGCACACAGTGCTTGACAATGACTCTGATGCCCCAACAAGCCTCTTGTCTTCCATTACTCTGCAATGTTTCCTGTTTGTTTTAACCTGTAGGAAGAAGGAGGATTTACAGATGATAATGCCATTTCTAATCTGCTTTGGGTAAGCCTGACTCTAACATAGGTGTCCTCCAGATTGGAGCCAGAGTTATACTCGCCATGTGCAATTCTGATCCATGGTGGTTCCCCCATGTGCCCTCCCTGTGAGTTCCGTTATCCCTGCGTAAGACACAGCCTTTGTCCAGAGCGGAGAGCTGATCCTGTGTCCTGAAGTTATTTTCTTAAACATGTAATGAAAATGCTTTAAGGAAGATGGTATTTTATGTTACATGTTAAAACTGTCGATGCAAGTCATGGCTCCCCTCTCTATAACCAACTATCTTGTGTAAATGAACTCATTTAATGATTGCACAAAACTGACTCAAGTGTATTTACTGTGCTTGTGTGGACGTATTCTAGCATTAGCATTCAAGGAAGGACTCTCTTGAAAAGAGAACTGAAATTGCAATGAGTCCATTAACATTCTGTTAGAAAAGCCATTGTTTGTCTCCCTACCCCCAACCCCCACCCCCACC